ATATTTATGTCTCCTTTTATTCTAGTGTCCAAGTGCTGCCAATGACAAATATTTGGGGAGCAGGAATTGTTTTTGTCTGTTTGTTTTCTGCTCTGGACACTTTTAGAGTTTTCTTTTCATCTTAGAGATTTTGATAGTAGACACATTAAGATGTATCCAGATATGAGTCTTTTTAAAAAATTCATCCTGTTCAGCACTCAAGAAGATGTGCCATTCTTCAGCATGTCAGATATATTTTCTTCAGATATATTTTCTCCTCTTGTTTTTCTAATCTCTATTGTTGTTCTATTAGTTACCTGTCACAACATAACAAATCATGTCGAAACTTCAAGACTTAAAGCACTTCATTATTTCTCATAATTCTGTGGACTAATTGAGTGGTTCTTTTGTTGGCCTTACCTGAGGTCACTCATGCTGTTGCTTTCAGCTGGCAAGTCAGCCCATGCTGGGCTCAACTGGAACACTCTCTCCATCTGGGCTTCTTCATCCCATGGGAGACTCAATGCAGCATTCTAAGAAGACACACTTGGAAACTTCAGGGGCTCCTAGAGTCTAAATGAAGTCACACATCACCTCCATCATTTTCTGTTGGTCAAAGCAAGTGACAAGAACTACCTAGATTCAAGACTAGGGAAACAGACTCTATATATCAATGGGAGGAGCTGGAAAGAATTTGTGGCCATATTTAATCTCCCATAGTTGCTTTGACTTCTTTGGGACCTCTTACGGGACAGATGTGAGACTCCTGGATCAATTCCCAATGTCTCCAAACTGTTCTCTCATTGGCCTAGAAAATGGGTCTTTGATTCAACTAATCAAAGTACACCCAAGAATGTACTGCAGTAGTGTACATTCATTATTCACTCCTCATGAACAGAGGGACTTGTAGCCAGAGTTTTTGAAAAGGTGAGGTACCCTGGCAGGTCTGTGAGCAGTTCAATGTTTTTGTGGACCTTAGAAAACTGAGAAACTGTTACTTCTTTTGGGGGACGTCAACATTCTCCATAGTGTAGCCACCTCAATAAATTTTCACATGCTTATTTTTTCAAATTATATCTTTCTATTGTGTCATCTCTCATCTTCCTGTTAACCACATCATTACGTTGTTGTAACAACCACAAACCTTTCAATACATACAAAATAGTTTTTTATTTGACTTGAAATTCCTTTCTGCCTGTTCTTTCATTTCACAGATGGGAACTAGTAGCAAAATAAAATAATTTAGCTACATTTTCAACTTAAATGGTAGAGGTAAGTGGACAAATTATTACTGGTAAGATTAGATCTAACCTCCAGAAGATTTGGGTACTCCCAAATGATCGAGATTTTATCAGCCTCTAATTAATTGTATAACCTTGAACTTGTTTGCATGTCCTAGATTAGTGACTAGCATATAGGGAGGAATTAAGAAAATGCCTTTTGATAAAATGGAAGAGTAAAATTTGTGTTCATATGCCATCCTTTTAATCATGGTTACCATCATTGAGGACCTACTATGAGAAAGATACCCTTAAGATTCAAAACATATGCATTCCATTAATTCCCCCCAGAAACCTATGTATTTAACAAGTATTTATTGGCTACTACTATGTGTCTGGCACTTTTCTAGGTTATATAGATACAGTAAAAATCAAAGCAGACCAAGGGCCTCCTTTCATAATGCCTATATTCTGGTGAGAAAGGTACACATGCATAAAGAAACAAACGAATATGATGTCAAGTAGATTTGGTCTCATGAGAAAAAAAAAAAAAAAACAAGGTAGGAGGTAGAATGTGATAGTGGCCACTGTCTTAGGTAATAAAAGCCTTTCTGAGGAGTTGATCATTAAACAGAACACTGAATAAATGACTCTGAGACACCGTGACCTGAAACTCCAAGTCTTTATGATACAGAAGTGACTCAGATATTTGTGAATGCATCCAAGATCCTTGTATGAATCAGCTCAAGCTGCCATAACAAAATACCAGAGGCTAAGTAGCCTACACAACAGAAATTAATTTTCTCAGTTCTGGAAACTGGAAGTCTGTGATTTCAAGGTGCCAGAAAATTTGATTTCTAGTGAGAGTTCCCTTCCTGGCTTTTAGACAGCCACCTTTTTGGTATGTCCTCAAATGGCCTTCCTTTGTATGCATGGAGAGGGAGCAAGATGTCAGAGAGACAGAAAGAATGAGAGAGAGGGAGAGAAAGAACACTCTCTAGTGTTTCACCTCATAAGGACATTCATCCTATCAGATCAGAGACCATCCTTATGACCGCAATCAGCTACTTCCTTAGAGGCTCCATCTCCTACTACAACCACACTGAGGGGTTAGGTCTTCAACATATGGATTAGGAAGGGACACAAACATTCAGTCCATATGAGTCCCACATCTAGAAAGTGACAGAGATGGAATTACAACTCAGGGCCATTTCTCTGCAAAGCTAACACACTATCCATCACGGTGCAAGATAGTGCTCCACAAGACAGGATTGCTCTTAGGACCAAGTAGAGCAGTGAATGGGAAAATCCTCTGTAACTATTCATGCACTACAAGAATTAAAACAGTATTATTACCTCCAGGAATGTTGCTGTTTCTTACTTACAACATAAACATCTTATAAAGTGCTGTAGTTTCATCTTAGTGGGGCTTATTTGTGTGGTGAGTAATTGTAAAGAACTAAGAGCTAAAGAATCAACACAATATGGGTCCCTGGATGGCTCCATCATTAAGCATCTGCCTTCAGCTCGGGTCATGATCTCAGGGTCCTGGGATTGAGCCCCTCATTGGGGGAAAGCCCTGCTCAGAAGCCTGCTTCTCCCTCTCCCACTCTCCCTGCTTGTGTTCAGACAAGCAGTTTGGGCTGATGGGCCACAGTTTGCCAAAGCTTGCTACGAATTATTTTTTGTTACTATAAACTTAATATAAATTATTTTTAAACAAAAGCAAAGAGGCCACTCTAGACTTCAGCAGTGGGCTGAAGAACTTCTGCACTTGGGTCAAGCAATGAGGAGATGGACCCATGACAGGAGAGGCGCTTGATGAAGCTTGACTTGTAGGAGGGCTCTCTGCAGGCAGAAGGCTGATTCTGCTGATCTTACATCCTAGGATATGTATCCTTTTTCCCTCACTGCCCCTTGGAAAGAGGATGACAAACTTACCACATAGGTCTTTCTTCAATCTCAAGAAACTCTAAATGGGGTTTCCTCGATTCCCAGGGCAGCGAGCCTTCTCCCCATCTTCCCTGTCACTAAGGCTGGGGTTTGACCTCCTTCAAAAACTATCACATCTGCTCTGCAGAATAAGGACTGTCGCCCCTGTTTGGGACAACTGCCACTACTCTGGTTCAGTGACAGAACTCACCAACCCCTTCTCCATTGAGTCAAAAACCCTTGTGTCTTTACCATTGACTCCCCAGGGTTCTTTTTCATCTCCTTTTTAATTGAGATGTTTCTAGATCCCACAGTTGTATTGGATGGTCCTCCTCTCTCTGTAAGGTCAGACCCAAACCCCTTTCCAACAGAAAGAAGACAGCAAGGGGAGGTCTTCTCTGGAAAAACTCCACATTGGGGATATTTCGAGGTTGGGGACTAACTCCTACAGCTGGAGAACCTGCAAGGATTTGACATACCTGCTGGGACCCCATGTGTACAGAAATAGAAAAGCCCCTATTTTCTTCCTCGCCTATCTCTTTACATCTCTTTACATCTCCTGAGCCTGTGACTGTGACTGTGCTCTGGTGTCTGCCTCTCCCCACTGCTCTACCGGCAGATGGGAGGACACAGGAGCCATTTACCTTTTAGTGAATGGAGAGTTATTGAAAGAACTTAAATTCATATTAAAAATGAAAATATAAATGAGGCAGCATACTAACATAGTAAGGAATGAGTAGGTACATAACAATCAGAAGAAACCAAAGGACAAGGGAAAGGAAAATAAAACAAAAATATAAATGACCTCCCTAACAATTAGAAGAACATTACTAGAGAAAATAGTTGTTTATTCACAGATGTCTTTCAACGGGAGACTTTCTACTTGGTAAATATCCTATCTATGACCAATTTTACATCCTGTCCTCTCTGAGAGAAGAGATTTGTTTGTAAAATTGAGAAGAGATCCAAAAAATGCAAAACCATTGCAATGGTACATGTCAAACTCTAGAGACAAGAAAGAAACCTTCCCTACTAAGTGGTACAGCAGCAGCAAGTTTTTCCCATGTACGTCCTCACATCCATGTGGATGATGGAATCAAACCCATGCACACAGTGATGACCTCCCCAGGGTCTGGCATCAGTAAATTCGGTCTGTGCCTCCTACTTCACACTTACCCAGCACAGTCATTTGGCCAACGTTGCTCAGTTACTGCTTACATGGCCATTGGTCTTTTGGAGAGAGAGTACTGTGCCAACTTGGAATGTGTTTGCCTGTCTCCTCCCAACCTACTTGCTGTTTAAGACCCTCCTTGACAACAGAGTAAGAGATGGAAATCTCAGGGTCTCTTACCTTCATTCCACAAATTCAAGCTGCCTTGCCTGGAAAGGAAACTACTTGGTTAAAGGAAGCCAGAGATTTAAAAAGGCTTTCCTGACCCACCTCTGCCACCTCTGTTCCTACCCAGTTATTGTACAGCAAAGGATCTTCACCTGATAAACTGTGTAGTCAAATTACTAAAAGAACAGTAATCAAATGTAACTAAGTGATTTTAAAAAATAAATAGATAAGTAAAAGCTAAAACCTGTATAGAAAGGAAAGGACTATAATATTTCACTGCAATATTTTAAGTGGTGTTTTATAAAATTGACAAATAGGGGTTTGTAACTTTCTGGTATGTGCACACTATCTCACGTTTTAATTAGTTGCCATACGTGGATGGATGCTTAAACATATTGTAGAGTTCTTTTAAAACTTTTATTACACAACACATTTAGTTAAATGTCATTTTACTTCAATATATTTAACCACCTTTTCTAAAATCTTTAATGACCTTTAAAGCAAAAATGTCTGAATTTACAATTTTGTATTTTTTAGCGCTGTTTTACATTTATGGATCGGGGCTTTGTATTTAAGATGGTTAACAATTATGTCAGCATGTTCTCCTCTGGTGATCTCAAGGTAAGAACCAAGTGAAGGACTGATTGCTTTCTGAACCACTGCATTATAAATAAATCTACTAGTCTCTGTGTTTTCCTGCTTAAAACATTAGCCTATCCATCCTCTGTATCAACAAATAGTTTCTATCCCAATGAGAGGCAGCCTTTTAAAACGGTCTATCTGTTCGTCTCCCACATCCTTCCTTAAAGGGGGACTGTGGAGTGTGGAGTCTGGAATGAACATGTAGGTTTCACTTCTATTTCCTGTGGGCGGTGAAAGGAGTAATACTTTTCAGCTGCAATTATCATAGTCAGGTTTGCTTGGGATTGTCTTGGTTTTAGCACTGAAAGTCTCACTTTTCTGAAATCCTTCAGCCTAGGGAAAAATGGACAGTTGACCCCCTTTCCCAAGTAGGGAGAATGTGTTGGGAGATAGATTGGGAACCATGCTGTCTGGAGAGCAGTGATTCTCAAAGTGTGGTTCCCAGACCAGTGATCCCAGAGCTGACCGTGGCAGGTGGGATTCCAAAATCTATATTACAGTAAGGCTTTCAGGTGATTCTTATATTCTTTCAACTTTGAGAACCATTGAGCTATGGTAGGACATATGCTGGAAGGAAATAAGACTGGATATGGGCCAGATCATGAAAGCTGTACCAGTTAAGTCTCTTTGGGTTGCAAGCAACAGAAACTTATGTCAGTTTGAGCAGAGGGAAAGTATTAGAAGCATAAAGGCATCAGTGAAAGAGCTGGAGAGCTGAGCTTGAGAAGGAACAGGAGCCAGGGCGCAAGAATAATTGCAAAGGAAGAACCATGTGGCTAAGGCTCACTACTGCTTAAAAAATATCTTGGGACCATTTTCTTCCCCTTAACCCTCTGCTTAAGATTTACATTCCAGAGAGGAAATGTGTGACCAACCTGCTTTGGGTCACATGCCTGCCTCTTAAGGAGGGAAGACAGGTCACTAGAACTGATAGTTCCGCATTAACCTTTGCCCTTTGGGAAGAAGGAAAGTCCCCAAGGGGTAATTTTCTAGGTATTGGGAAAGAATAATGAATGTAGAGAAGCCAAAAATAAATAATGATCTTCTTATATCCATTCATGCCATGCTTAGGAACCTGAACATTATCTTTTGGGCAATGGAGATTTATTTTTGACTAGGGGAGTTATATGATTATATGCCATTTGTATTTTGAGAATCCAGTTCCCTCTGTATATATTTTTTGAAAGAATATTCTTTGTTAGTGCTCCAATTATGCATGAAATTTGCCGAATATCTTTTTAGATATAATTCCAGGAGGCCTAAATTATTTATTTTTTTCAGAAACCAAACAGAACATACTCAATGAAAAATAATTAACATACAATTTAATTATGCTCTTATTCACCTTGATGCACAAAGGATTAAGTCAAATACTATCCTTGTTTGAAATGAGAGTATTTTAAATTATTAACTGAAGTTGCCACAAAATATAATTCTAAAATATCCGAGCAAATGGAATATATTTTATTTTGTTGGATGATATTAGTGAATACAATGAATACAACCTAACTGGATCCTAAAAATTGATTACTTAGTCTGCACAATGAGGAAAACAGAATATTTATGAATTGTTAATTGTTCCTTCTTATGTGATTGTTTTTAACACATGTATTAAGCTGTCTTAGACCATGTCTGAATTCCATTAATCACTGTCCTAATCAAAACATTATTGAGAAGACAGACCTGTTTGCAAGGGCAGGAAAGAGGTGAGACCAAATAATATAGTCTGAGAACAAAAGACCTACAGAGAGATCACATGGGCCATTATCTTCCTTAGCACTGGATAAGAGGGGTTGATTGCAGTGACCTGTTCTATGAGCTCAGTGCAGTTTTAGAGTTCTGTACCTGTGATGAGACACAAGCCCTCTCAGAATAAACATGGGCTGATAGAAGCTTAAAGAAATGGAAAATACCACTGGGTAAGATCATATCTTCATATCTCTTAGAAGCTCAAAAACAAAAGTACACAAAAGTAACTACATCTTCTTTCTAGGTATAAGATTCAAAGGCAGATTTTTTATTAACCTTCTTGGTGAGTAAATAAGTCATTTAGTTTGCCTCTTTTTCAGACCTTATGCCAGTATAAATTTGATTTTCTTCAAGAAGTATGTCAGCATGAACACTTTATTCCTTTGTGTCTCCCCATAAGATCAGCAAACATTCCAGGTAATGCCCAGAATTTGCACCGGTTCCTACAAAATGAACATTCAAATTTATTTATTTGTTTTTACCTTCATTTATGTGTTGCTTTTTTCCTACTTCCTTGGTCTTGTTTGTGCCTCAATGATTATAAATCAAAGAATTTTAACCTACAGTAATACTTTTACTATACTGTCTCCAAAAGAAAACTTTCTTTTGATTTTGAAAGGCAGAAAATTATGAGGAAGAGAAGTTACACTTTGTGAGTACAAATACACTTAAAGGTATCAATTAAAGTGTCTAATTATTTAAAATGCAATTCTTCAAAATGAGTTTTATACAAAAACAAAACAAAAACAAAAAAACTTTTGCCTTGAAAAGGAGAAAAAAAAAAGGCAGGCAGGAGGGCGTCACTGTAAATACTCCGCATCTGTGGGTTAGAAAGAGCCCCTGATGTCTGTGCAGGGAAGAACAGGGCTCCTCGATTCCATATTTGCTAAAGTATAAATGGTCTACAGAAAATGTTTTCATTTTTAACTTTATTAATATCTATGTTATATATACCAATATAGATAGATACCAAAATGACCATCATACATCTAGCCATCAGAAGCTAATCTAACATCAAGATTCAAAGAAAACACTAAAATGATTTAAGAACTTAAAATATTCTGCTCCTATTTTGCAATACATGTAAATATGGAATTATTATGTTGGACACCTGAAACCAATATAGTGTTATAGTCAATCATACTTCAAGAAAAGGAGGAAGGAAGGAAGGGGGGGTGGGATGAAGGATGGAGGGAGAAAAAGAGAGAGGAAAGAGAGAGAGAGGAAGAAAGACAAAATGCTTTGCTTCTAATGTGTGAGTAAATTATCCACAGGGCACAGTTTTGATATTCATGGAAAGCAGAAACTAAGATGGTAAAGAGCCTCCTCACATGTATTGCAACTTCTACTGTATGTATTATACAAAGCTAGTATTTTGGAGGGAAAATAGAGTAAAGTGTGCATAATATTTTGGAGGGAAAATAGGGTAAAGTACATTATCAAGCCTATGAAAGCATTGTCATTTTATTTTTATTTTTTTTTATGTTTCAAATTTTTATTTAAATTCTAGTTAGTTAGCATATAGTGTAATACTGATTTCAGGAGTAGAACTTAGTGATTCATCACTTACCTACAACACCCAGTGCTTATCACAGGTGCCCTCCTTAATCCCTATCTCCCATTTAGCTCATCCCCCACCCACCTCCCTCTAGCCACCCTCAGTTTGTTCTCTGTAGTTAAAAGTCTCTTATGGTATGCCATACCATGAAACTTCCGTCATTTTAATCTTAAATATAAGCTACTGAATTCTATTAAGGAATAAACATAAGCTATTTAATTAGTTATTCCATTTTTTTCTTCTTTACAAAGTACATTTAATTTTAATGCCTTTATAGAAAAAGAGGTAGAAACGTTACTTTCGACTTTTGTTTTGTATTCCTTTTTATTGTATAAACTAGTGCCAAGTTATTATTGGGTGAGACATGCTGGTTAAGATACTCAAGAGGCGCAAACCTGTTTTATATTTTAATTCTAATTGTTTACTATTTGTCAGTAGCTCAGGAAACGTCCTAATAGTCTCTTTATAGATCTAATATTATCAACAATGAACATAAAAATATATGTTTTGTGGCATGCAGATTTCTGATAGAAAATAACAGGTGCTCAAGTACAAGGCCAAGAATTAAAATAATTCTGTTCATGGCTTCCTTTTTTAAGGAAACAACCTATGGTATTTGTTTCCAAGAAACAAAACTTTATTGAAGAGTCTTACTTATAGTTTAGGACAATGTATTTTAATTTTTCAGTATAAATTACCAATTGTTAATGAATATGGTGTATACCTGAGTATGTGTATATCTAAACTTTTTATTTATTCCCATTAAATCCAGATCCTTTAACACCTTCAGAATCAACTCAAGAGTTACATGCATCAGGTAAATAATTACATTTTATATTACATTATCTAAGCATCAGTAGCCATACCATAATCTGATAATATTGACAGATGCACATACTACATATAATATTGATAGATAATATTGATAGATATACATACTACAAGTTTCCAATCTCCAGATGCCAAAAAATAGCCATATGTTTATCATACAATCAAAACAGTCAATATGCTGACTGAACATTGGTTACAAATAATTAAATGCTTTGCCCACATCAATTCTTTCTTATTTTATTCTCCAGAGTTTTACTTCTTTTTTTAAATTTCCCAAATCATCTAAAATTTTCTTAGGGTGTATCATAAACAAAATTCCCAGCTATATGCAATAACATGTTTGTTCAGTGTAACTAGCTTCATGTGATATATTTCTGTCAATAAACCACGGTCTGGTTTTTGAGCTCATTTCTCAAGATTGAAATTATCATTTTTACTTGAAATAGATTCATAACTTAGAACAGTCTGGGCAGAACTTTTCTCTAGCCCTAGGCTGGGAATTACATAGTTGTGTTCTACTTTTGGGCCCTCATGAATACTCACTATTACACAGAGAAATGTTTTTAACCTAACTACGCCCTTGGACCACTATTTCTAGAACTTTCACATTCCCTTTTCTTCCACCTCCAGTGGCATCGTCCTAGACTACAAACTTCCACGTGCTTCATTTGCCCCTAGTCAGTGATGACTGTAATATTTCAGCAGCTCATTACATCTAACGTGTAACCTCGCAGATTCACTGAGATAACCCCTATAAAGGGCTTGGCCTCCTGTTGGCACTCAATACGTGTTCTAGAAGTGGGCGCTAGTCCTGTTATTAATCATTACATTTAGGAAGCACATTGGGCAATTCCAAATAAATCCATACTTAGTGGAAATTTTAAGATTCCAATTTCTCCATAATTCAGGCTCCAGATTTTGCAGTCCCTTTGGTGTTCCTCTTCTTGCTCTTTCACATCCTTTAGCCAACTTGTCCTGGTCATTTTTCTTCTACTACTTGGGTCCTCCTACCCCAGGCCAGATGCATCTCACTTCTCCCCTCCCTTCCCCAGGGCCAAACCTCTTGTATTATAGCCCTTATCCCACATTTCCCCCAAGGAATAACTCACTTACATCCTGTTGCCACGTGAGCAAATAAATAGGCACAGGTCTGATCTCAAAGCCTTTGGTGACATAATCCTTTCTACACAGAATTCAGTGCCAAATGGTGGAGGGTCCTAGGCACTAGCTAAAGAATTTGTGTTTAGGTCTCTCCATCATCTGGCCCCAAGTGCCCCTCAAGTCTCAATTCCCACCACCTCATCTTGGCTGCTGTGCTGACTTGTACACCCCCAACCTATAATCCCCATACACTGTGCTTTCAGAAGTCTGTGCCACCAAAACCCTGTCCCCTGGTCCTCCCAACCTCTTCTCTTTCACCCCCAACCCCCACCACCACTGACTCCTGACCCTCTGCCTCTCCAAACCTTCAACAGCCTCAAAGGCCCATCTCAACATATTCCTTCCAGTCACACCTCCTGATTCTTCCAGACAGAAAATCAATCTTCTCTTTTCAACTCCTGTAACATTGTAGACATACCACTTTTATAGAATTTGACCATGGTCAGTGAGTATTATTGGTAGTAGTGTACACACAATACTTCTGGAATGTTCCTCTCTCTCATTTCTCATCTCTGTAGTAAGACTGCATTACTGAATCCTTCCCTGGTGGTGAGAGGGTTGGTAGTTGTTGGATAAATCTTTCTGAATTATAAAGTGATCATTTGATTTTCAATAACATGATCTCTTTGCTTTCCTCACAAAGATATGCCTGAATATTCAGTCACAAATGAATTTTGCCGCAAACACTTCTTAATTGGAATTCTACTCCGAGAAGTTGGCTTTGCCCTGCAAGAAGACCAAGACATCAGGCACTTAGCTTTAGCTGTCCTAAAAAATTTAATGGCTAAGCATTCATTTGATGATCGATACAAACAACCAGTGAGTGATTTTCTTTTCTCCCTTCCCTAAACACCATTTAATGGCTCACTGCATTAAATGCATAGCAAACCTACAAGTCTATTGATTTTTATGTGAATAATTTCTTTTGACTACCTTTCCTCCTAGGAGAAGCAGGCCCAGATAGCAAGTTTATACATGCCCCTCTATGGCATGCTTCTGGACAACATGCCAAGGATTTACCTAAAGGACCTGTATCCTTTTACTGTCAACACATCTAATCAGGTGAGTTTACAAAATGGTTCAAATGTTGATTTTAATAAAGAGTTTCCCTGTTTTGTATTTTTGCCCTGGAGAGCTATTTTCCCTCAACTGTGAGCAAACTAAGCATTTCGTGCTAGCCATTTTAAGATGTTGGCATCAATGTCATTTGGTCCACATTGGTCCCTGAAGCCTTCCACCTCATCCATCATTTTCCTCTCTTCTCTGTATCACCTTCCAGTTCTGTCCAGTTTTTACCAGGTTCCTCTGTTGCATGCATGGCTCCATCCTCAGCGTGCCCCTCCTCCCTCCCCTGACCTTTCCCCACATGAGCTTCATGACCACCTGGTGTTAGTGTAGCCAAGTGCTTCAGTCACACCCAGGAGTGGCCTCTTTGCCATCCCTCCTCCACTGAGCCACCATTGCGGCTGCACAGCAAGCCACCTGAGATTGGATTCCTCTGTTCACATCCCAGATGAATTAACACACTACGGAGGGCAAGATATTACCACTTCGAAGTTAGGAGCTATGCCTTTGGAAAGCTGTTTAGAGGAAGACCTTGTTCAAATCCCAGTAATACCAGTTTCTAGCAATGTAACCTTAGATAAGTAATCCAGGCTCTTTCAACCTCTACTATCTTCTTTATAGAATGGGATAGAATTACTCCATCACAGGATTCTTATGAGGATTAAATGGTCTAGTAGAAAACACTTATAGAGACTGGCACATAGTATTTGGAATTAGTTTTTAGTATTAGTAATATACATAAGATGACCCATGATTATAATGATATGTAATCTATAGCATAATCCATAAAAAATCAGTAGCCATTCCAACCATTTAGTTTATATCTAGAAGGTAGTTTCCACTACATTTTAAAAAAAGAAAAAATCACATAAGAAATCAAGTGGTGACTAGGGGTATGGATTTGTTGAAGAGTATGATTGTGACTATCCATTTCTCCTACCTGCTTTTGCAGAAGACCTTTGCTGGAATATGAAAGGTCAAGTCAAATAGCATCAAATCAAAAGTGTAACAAAGAAAGCATGTGTGGGTTTCCAGTGTTGAAATATGGCAATTCCCATAATCTCTTCTGTGCTTGAAATGCAGGGGTCTAGAGACGACCTCAGCACCAATGGAGGATTTCACATCCAGTCAGCTATGAAACATGCAAACTCTGTGGACACATCATTTTCTAAAGATGTTTTAAACTCCATAGCAGGTACTTAAGACCTTTGGGGAACACTTGTGTTTCACTCTCATCCATGTTTACGTCACATATCATCGTGTTTTTTACCCACTCCATAATTCAATGTGCATAATTTCTGTATGTCAAAGTACACTTTAGTTATATGGCTAAAGAGTTTCTTTACCCATTTATTTAAAAACCATCTAGGGGCTACCTCTTCCACTTAGCATTCAGTTTTTCTTGGCTCAAAGAGCAATCTGCTCAGATGTTAGCAAATTGCTTCATTCTGGAAACAATCTTTAAGTGTTCATTGCGTACAACCTGTAAAATATAATAGCCCATCAACTTCAAAATTTACTTCTAAGAACTATTTTGGAAATAGTTCTTATAAACTGTTCAATTCTTATAAACTGTCAAAACTTGAAAGCTTCTTCCCCAAAAGCCACCTTATGAACATTTATTAAAGCATTTTTATAAGAGAAACTTTCTTTTAAAAGTTTTTTTAAGAAATCAAAGGAACAAGCAGTACTTTATTTCCATTTATAATGGCCTAAATTTTCCTAAATCCTTAAATGCCAGTGTGGTCTTCATGACCATTCTTACAATGTGGCATGTCTTTAATGGCAATTCCAGACTCTGTTATGTCAGCCTTGCCCAACATTGCCATCACCTCCATGCTCCATATCTTTTTGGGTCATCATGTGTGTGCCCATTGCATCTCATTATCATCTGTGTGCTGTGGCTTGTGTTTGCAGCATTTTCATCAATAGCTATTTCTACAGTAAACCATGCTGACTCCAGAGCCTCCTTAGCAAGTCTTGACTCCAACCCAAGCACCAATGAGAAGAGCAGTGAGAAGACTGACAACTGTGAAAAGGTGGGGCTTCTTTCCCAATTATGCAGCACCTTGTGAGCCAGCAGTCTCTCACTCTACCTCAGCCCTTCTTGATTCTTCCACTCCTAGGTCCCTAGACCCTTGTCTTTGATAGGATCAACCCTTCGATTTGACAAGTTAGATCAAGCAGAAACCAGGAGTCTTCTCATGTGTTTTCTTCACATTATGAAGACCATTTCGGAGGGTAAGGAGAGCTCTTGAAAATTACAATTTTTTAAAAAGGAAAAAACTTTGAGTTTCCAAGAGTCTCATGCTCCACGGTGTTTCCTTTCAGAGACACTGATTGCCTACTGGCAAAGAGCACCCAGCCCAGAGATATCTGACTTCTTCAGCATCTTGGAGTAAGTTATAGAGTTGATTTGTTAACATTTTTTTCTGAAGCTTCAAAATAGTTTAGTATGCCATCCTTCATTCTAAGAACCCATATGCTAAACTATCTATCACTAGTAATGGAAGAAATATTTAAAGAAAATGTAATATTTTTCTTCTAATGTACTTAAATGAATGGTTTGTATAAATAAAAGGGCATGAATAATTAGAATGTGACTTTTTTTTTTCCTTTCCAGTGTTTGTCTTCAAAATTTCAGATACCTAGGGAAACGCAATATAATAAGGTAATAACTTTAAAATTCCAATCCGTTAATCTGGTCTTTTAAAAAAATTATGACAAATAGTGATTTATCCAGTTAGACTTATAGATATATGTTAGAAATCTTCAAATGCACATAAGGATTATAAGGTTGGCCTCACAGTAGACATAGGAGTTTGATGATTACCCTCTACCCGTAGTAGGTCTAGGACTAGTTAAAGCTGTTAAGAGAATAAAACACAAAACATACCTTTCTGAAAGGAAACCACATTTCCTACATAGTCTGAACTAACTTACCTATCATTTGTATAGATGTAATGTAGAAGATTCCTATTTAAGAAAATACATCCAATGTGAATAAGTCACAGGAATAAAAGGTACAACATAGGGAATATAGATGAGGTACACTTTTGGTGACTGCCACAAACATACAGACTCGTCAAATCAGTATGTTGTACACCTGAAACTAATATAACACTGTGTGTCAACTATTCTTCAATTAGAAGAAAATAAAGAAAAAATATAACCTCCAGTAAGCTAAAGAGAAAAATGAATCTGGAATAACTACTGTGTTGACATCCTTTTCTCGTGAGAGACCATGAAGCCCCCAGTACCTTCACTAAACCCCCATTTCCCATTGCTGGAAGAAAATATGATTCTGTTTTTCATAGCATGTGAACTTATTTCTTTGTTCAATAATCAACCTGCCAGTTGCCATTCTGTATTTATAAATAAATTACAATTACTGAGCTATGATTAAAACATCAGTTCTCCTTGCAGAAAAATTGCTGCTGCATTTAAATTTGTGCAGTCCACCCAGAACAATGGAACTCTCAAGGGATCTAATCCTTCCTGTCAAGCATCAGGTCCCTTGTCACAATGGTAACATCACATTTGCTTGATATTTGTAATCATATTGTGTGTATAAATGTGTGTATATGTATGTATATATGAGTGTATATACATGTGTATGTATGTATATGTGTACACATATATACATATGTATCAATGTATTGTATATATGTATATGTGTGTATATATATGCACAGATACATGGATATGGATGTGTATATGTGTATGGGGGTATGGATGCACACACATGAGCATGCGTGGATGCACACACACATGTGTATATATGCATATACTTCAAACCAAATGCAGATTTCAAGTAACTCTGTGTTTTTCTGAAAAAACTTCTCAGGTACTGCCTGATCTGCCCCGCTAGCTTGTGAAGACCTAAGAGGCAAGGATTATGCTTTATTTATGTGCACTCGGGGCACAATGCCATGCATAGGATGAGGGTTAATAGGTACCTTAATTTAATTGAACCCAAAAAGACGTAATTCCAATATATGACTCGTTTAATGTTTTTTAACCTCCTAGTGACAAAGTAAGATGAGAGGTTGTATCCCCATTCCTCTCAATAATTGTAATATGTCAGCAGCATCTTTAGAGCTCAAATTGTTTTCTAAAGGGTCAAAGGCAGGGAGGATTTAGATGGTTTCCTAGTCATTACACTGATTTGACTAGCATATAGGACCTGGAGTCATCCTTTATTAACCTACCCTGTGGGGAAATTTTGCCCTGAAATCCTACTTTAATTCTCCCCTGCGTCTAGTAAGTAAGAATTCTATGCTAAAATTTTCTCGTTTGATTTATTCTTCCCAGAGGTACCATAATAATATATAATAGGAAAATGGCTGTATTTTAGAAAGAATTTTAGAAATAAGAAAGTGGTAAATAACCAATAAATCATGGAGTAAATTTTGCCTCTTCATCCATAAGACTCCTTAAAGTGGCCCCTTGTGTGAAAGTAAATGAGAAAATGTAATAGGTGTGTTTTGCAAATGGTAATAGAATAGAGAACTATAAACAATGACTTCTTATGTTTAAAGACTATAGTCATGTACCTGAGATCACTGTAGTTTTGTTGATGTTTGGTCAGTTAGATTTCAGGCTTCTTCCTGAATGATCTAGACAGGTCCTAGCCATTCCCACCTCTCTCTTTCCAGAAACCAGTATTTTCCTCCAGAATTTCCAGACTAAAATACACTCAAAACCTGGAAATAAACCAGTCCCAAAGGTCCAAGCCATACAACCTAGGACCCATTATTTCTTGTAGCTTCAGGAATGACCTGGACTCCTCTGGCTCTTGAAAACCAAAGTTAGATCTTCTGGGCCTCAGTCCATCCAGAGCATTTGATTTGGTCAGAACCAAATGAGCCTTGAAAAGTGTCACCAAGAGAAAACCATTGCCATATCTATAGGCTTGACTCTTCAGGGTTTTTCCTATTGCCAGCTTTCCTCAAAAAAAATGTTCTATTATCTTGGCCAAAAGATAGCTTAAATGAAAGTTAAGAATGGGAAGTGTTCCTACTTCCACATAACACTGGCTCATTCCCCAGATGGAAGTGCCAAGGAGACATCAAATGAGAGCCACTGCCCGCCATTGTCTTTGGCCTGGAAAGTACCTGCACTCAGGGACCCCTTAGCTCTCTCCCTTACCAGGATGGAATCCCATGAACTTCCCATGGAATCTCATGATTTCATTAAACAGTAATGAATATGCTTGTTCAGATTAAATTCAGTATCTATTATTCTTCTATCATACTTTGGTATTAATTATCCTTCTGAACCTTTTTTTGGTTTAAAAAAACTTCTCCTAAAGTATTCTTAAAACCCCTTTTTATCATGTTATCTATAATCAATATTTTTATGCAACATCTCTATTTAAATATTGTTTTAAATGTTTTACTCAATCTAGAATACTTGATTGAACACCTATATGTCATATCTCTCGTACATTAACCATTTTTTCCTATTAATTTTCAGGATGCATACCCCGTCCACTCATGAAGGACATAAGCAGCACAGATCACAAACCTTACCTATAATTCGAGGCAAAAATGCACTTTCAAACCCCAAACTCTTACAGATGTTAGACAACACCATATCCAGTAAGTAAACAAGAAATAATAAGAACATGATGGTGATCAGTGTTTCTCTAGATGTGTGGAAAACATGAAATGCATTATAATGTTTCAGAAACGTAGGAAATGTTGGCATGCCACCGAGATTACTGCTTTTCAGGCTTGCTGTAGCCCAGAGAATTTTTTTAAGAGGAGAAAAAAATCACCAGAGAAGGGGATTTAAAAAATGTAGTGTCCTTATAAAGAAGAAAGGAAAAAGGCGAATCACTAGGTATAATCTGCTGGGTGTAGCTCTTCTGGTATCAAGTGACTTTGCTATTGTCAGGCTTATGGGGCCTCTCTGAACCAGATTATTGTCTGCTCTTCAAGAAGAGCAGAAAGTTGCCCATGTTCTAGAAACAACATGTGTGACATCTTGAACACAATAATGCACACATTCCAGCTTGTGAATGAGGAAGAATGGACCCAGTGTTTTTTGTACCATGTACATGTTAGTGATTCTGGGCATATGACCAGAGTTACCTGTTTGAAGACATGTGCCTTCACCTATAAATACCTTTAGTGCCTTTAATGGCCATTAATGCACACTGTCCACAGAGACTGCATGTTTAGTCTATTAGCCTGGGAGCATAAAACTTGACCCAGACTGAGAATGAGAGAAATGTGACTCTGTCAGTGCCTGTGTCAATGGAAAAGAATTAAGAACTAATGGTAAATGGATCACTCTTGTCTACAGCTGACATATGAAAAGGGAAAACACACTATATTAGTCAGTTTGAGTTGTTACAAATTAACAGTCTGGGTGGCTGAAACGACAAACATTTATTTCCCATAGTTCTGGAAAGGTGGGAGGCCCGACGTCAAGGTGCCAACAGATTTGATGTCTGATGTGAGCCTTCTTCCTGGTTTGCAGACAGCTACCTTCTTGTTGGGTCCTCACATGACAGAGAGATAGGTGATCTTTCTGGTGTCCCTTTTTATAAGGGCACTAACCCATTCAGGAGGGTTCCACCCTCAAGAGCTAATTACCTCCAAAGATCCCCCTCCAAATACCATCATATTGGGTTTGGGGCTTCAACATACGAATCGGCGGGGGTGGGGGGTGGGGGAGACACAAACAGTCTACAGCATCCATTAAAGACTCTGTCTAGAGTTTTTGATTCAGCCAATAAGGCAATTGAACAAACAAAAGCACTTTGATTTAATAAATCACTTAACAAAACACCAGTAAACATTGAATATGTTATAATAGAAAAAAGTCCTTTATGGGATACAAAGAATTTTCTTAGACATTTATGCATGTTCTACCTTATATTTTGTAGGCAACTCCAATGAAATAGACATTGTGCACCATGTGGACACAGAGGCCAATATAGCTACAGAGGTTTGCCTGACTATTCTGGACCTGCTATCCCTCTTCACCCAGATTCATCAGGTAAGTTGATTCTGACATCTTCACAACATAAAATGGGAAGTAGAAAAGTCGTAGGAAGTCAAGAATCTATTTTTAAAGTATTTTATGAAATCAACTAACCTTACATAAATCAACATAAGCGTGAGTGGAAAAAAATTTGAAAGATGAGACTCAGAATTTAACAGAAGTTGACTACTGCTCAAATGATATACGTACATACATATGTCACTATCATCAAATAATAAACATTTTTCCTTGTTCCTCCTGCTTCACTCTCAGGCAAGCCCAGCTAAGGGAAGTGTGATTCTACTTTTTCAGTCTTGAGGGGAGAGACAAATGACAGCCAGACCCAACATCTTTCCGTGTGCTTATTTGTCATCTATGTAGCTTGGGTGAAATAATACCACTACATACTATTAGAATCACCAGAGTTATGGTGAATGGATTTTACTAATGGTCATATATCCATATACTAGAATACTGCTCACTCATGTTCAATGAAAGAAGCCCAACAAAAAGTTTGTATTGTATGTCTCCATTTACATAAAATTTTAGAAATGTGAACTATAGAAATTACATGTCAGCTATACCTCAATAAAGATATTTAAACTATTAGCTCAATCTAATGAGCTTATAGATGTTCAGGGTTGAACTCGGAAGAGTTGGATCCACTGAATAAAGTCTGCACCAAACAGAATGATTATGCCAAGAAAGCTCTGCTTTCAGGTGAAATGTCATCATGGGTAATAGGAAAAGCAAAAACCATATTTTAATTATTTATTACTCAGTGACAATGTCAATCAAATCTCAGACATCACAAAGGCCCTATCAAAGCCGATGAGGACCTGCCTCTCTGAGACCTCATCTGTGACCTCATCTTCTACACTTCTCCTCATCTCACCCCATGCCCCACGCTCAGGCTGCTCTGCTCTTTTTTTTCTTTTCAACCTTGAACTCATAAACTTCTTCCCAACTCATGTCCCTGGTATATCTGTTTCTCTCTCCCTAAACAGTCCCTTCAGATCTGCCCATAACCAATTCCTTTAGTTCACATATCAGTTCATTCATTAAAGAGGTCTTGACTAACTATCCTGTCTAGAGTAGCACTATCCCCAAAGTAATTACTTTTTATTATATCCTATCATTCTGCTCTATTTTCTTATTTCATGATTTTTTCAGTCACTTCTGTATAAGTTTCAGTGGGAACATAGGTCTTATCGCCTTATTCACTACAATTTCCAGAACTTAGAATTGTGCCTACCACATAGTAGGTTCACAATAAATATCTCTCAAAAGAAAACAGTTGTCCTTTCACTCATCCTAAATAACTTCTTTGTTAAATTTCCAGAGACAGCTCCAACAATCTGAATGTCAAAATTCAATGATGAAGAGGGTCTTTGACACCTACATGCTCTTTTTCCAAGTCAACCAGTCAGCCACAGCACTGAAGCATGTGTTTGCCTCCTTGAGATTGTTTGTATGCAAGGTAAGCGTTCTCCTGGTTCCAGTGAAAGCTCAGGGAAGGATGATGATAAATGCATATTAATTCTGACATCTCTCAGTATGGAGGAAAGGATCCCTGTGTTTCGACGATGTTCGGTGAATAGAAAGCATTTCAAAGTTCTTAATCTCTAGTTCTGGGTTGTCACTGGTTATTGATGCATGGGAGACTTACAATGTAAAGAATGATTATTTCTAGGGAAAAAATATTAATATAGGCTTAAATAAATACAATTCTATCCCTTCCACTTGCAGATGGGAGAAAAAGACAAGGTTAAAAAAAAAAGGTGGATTTTGTTCTAAGGAATTCTGAAATTGAGCATAAACAGAGTGACATGAAAGCATGGTCCACCCTTAACCAGTCCTTCTATTTCCATAGTTTCCTTCAGCATTCTTTCAGGGGCCAGCCGACCTGTGTGGATCATTCTGCTATGAAGTCCTGAAATGCTGTAACCACAGGTCACGGTCAACGCAGACTGAAGCATCAGCACTTCTGTACTTTTTCATGAGGAAGAATTTTGAATTTAACAAGCAGAAGTCAATTGTCCGGTCTCACTTACAAGTAAGTGCTGTCAAGTTTCATTAATGCTGTTTTGAAAACCACTCATCTGTTCCAGCACTGATCAAAGCCTCCTGGCTGCAAGGCAAAAGCTACCAACTCCTCTACCAGACCCCTCCTTGAAGACACTTGGCACAGTCAACTCTCACTCAGAGGAAGAGGGCAGAAATCAACAAAGTCCGTAACTCCATTTGGACTTTCCTTTCTTCTGCCAGGGAACAGAATAAAATAGAATACACAACTCGGGAGACCAAGGCTATCTCTAGAATGCCAAACCCCACCAGATTCTCCTCACAGAAATGTCTTTCTTTAAGGCAACCCAAGATTCCTGCAACCTTCTTATATAAATATCTAAAATTATAGGAAACGCCCTAGATGACATGACCTTCTAAAAATTTAATGCATGAAGATGCTACTTTTGGGACCCACAAGGAGAAATCAAAGATGCATTCATCCAGTCCAATGGATTTCTTTAAAATTACTATTTCTCAGTTATCACTTTTGAAGTTCCATTGTTCTTTTCTCTTCTAGCTCATCAAGGCCGTAAGCCAGTTAATAGCTGACGCTGGGATTGGAGGCTCTCGATTTCAACATTCCCTTGCAATTACCAATAATTTTGCCAATGGAGACAAACAGATGAAAGTAAGAAATGCTTTGTGGGCATTTTCAAAGACTTAGGAATAAAACTAAACTGAATTCTTTTGTGAAATATCAAAATCATTAAAAAATACAAGTTCTGTATTTTGTTTATTGAGACTTGAACTGAGTGCTAACGTTGAGTTTACTTGTTTGAATTAATAATCAGTTCTAACACTGTTAGTCTGTCATCTGTTAAGTGGAATTTGCAAGATGTGTGATTGAATGGGATATAACAAGAAAACTAACCACAAACATCCAGAAATACAGTCATTTTCTTATAATCTTACTCTTGGCCAAATTTACTGAATCATTCTTTTAGAAATTTCAGAAGTCTTCTTCATTAGTCATAGTACTGAAAAGTCCAGGGATAGAGTCCAGGGCATGGCTGATCCCAGGGATTAAAACAATGTTTCAACATTAATTTGAAAGGATAGCTGTAACCCCATGTTCATAGCAGCATTATTTACAATATCCCAGGCATGGAAACAAGCTAAGGGTCCATCAGTGAATGAATGGATAATGCAGTCGTGGTGTATATATTCAATAGAATAGCATTCAGCCATAAAAACTGAGGAAATCTTACCATTTATGACAACATGGATAGACATTATGTTAAGTGAGATAAGTCAGACAAAAAAGACAAATACTGTATGATCTCACTTATGTGTATCTTAACACTTATGTGTAATCTTAACAACAACAACAACAAAAAAAAAACCCTGAAAATCATGGAAAAAGAAATCAGACCTGTGGTTATCAGAGGCGGGTGGTGGGGAGTGGGGAAACTGGGGGAGGGTGGTCAACAGATACAAACTTCTCATTGTAGGAGAGATAAGAACTAGGGATGTCAGGTACAACATGATGACCATGGCTAACACTGGCCTATGCTATACAGAAAAGTTAGCTTAGAGAGAAAATCCTGTGTTGTCATCCTAAGGGGATTTTCTTTTCCTTTTTCCTTTTTATCCTTCTTCCTCTGTATTTCATCTACATGAGAAGATGGTTGTGAGCTGAACTTATTGTGGTACTCATTTCCCGATATATATATGTATATATCAGACCACCATGCTGTATGCCTTAAACTCACCCGTGATGTATGTCAGATACTTCTGAGAAAAAAATTTAATAAAAAAGGTTTTTTTTAATTAAAAAAATCATCATGTTAAAAAAAATCATCATGTTTTCAGGCCCCCTTTCCGTACTGCCTCGATGTTTGCCTCTCTCTATCTCTCAGCTTAGTTTTCCTCTTTGCTTACTTCATTTACAAGTGAATGTAAATGCTCTCCCCAGGAGCTTACTCTTTCAGAAATCCTGAGGACACTGGAATATTCTATAAGTGGAAAAAGTGCCTCAGATCACCTGGGTGGCACAGTTGACTAAGTGTCTGTCTTCAGCTCAGGTCATGGTCCTGGTGTCCTGGGATTGAGCCCTGTGTGGGGCTGCCTGCTCAAGAGGGAATCTGCTTCTCCCTCTCCTTCTGCCCCTCCCCCTCTCCCCCAGCTCATGCTATCTCTCTTTGTCTCAAATAAATAAAATTGTTTAAAAAAAAAAAGAAAAAAAAAAAAAAAAAAAACACTTCGTTCTGTAGTGCCAATCAATGTCCCAGACTTGAATCTCTTTGTTTAAACCTTCTATCATTCCTAAACCAATTGCTGGCTTGAGGGATCAAAGAAGTTGATTGGCCAGGCCAGTTTGGTGGACTACACATTCGTGCCCCTAAATGAAGTAGACCCTTTCAAATCACATGAACCAGAGCCAGAGAGGTGAGAGCTTCAAAGAGCAATCAGGATGCTCTTACTAGAAGAAGCTAGGTGAGCAGAGAAGATGGAGTCCACTGCAGTTCTTATGTTCAAATGTGTACAACCACAATCAATACGTAGAATCATATCTAAAGCAAGTACATATTTATGAACAACATAGAGAGTGCACCAAACTGTGAAGCCAAGCCATGACTAACAGCATAACTTGAAGTAACCTATTTTAGGGATTAAGAACAGATAATGACCCAGGTGCTCTGTTTTCCAAAGAACAGCAACTTCCCAGCAGAGGTGAAAGATCTGACGAAACGTATAAGGACTGTTTTGATGGCAACAGCTCAGATGAAGGAGCATGAGAAAGACCCCGAGATGCTGGTGGATCTCCAGTACAGTCTGGCAAACTCCTATGCAAGCACCCCTGAGCTGCGGAGGACCTGGCTTGAAAGCATGGCCAAGATTCACGCAAGAAATGGAGACTTATCTGAGGTAATTAGCCAAGGCTCAGTCCTCCACTGGTATTGTCCTCTTTATCAGGACAACTGAATTTTCATTTACAGTAGGCTACCATATTTTTCCACGTATCTAGATATGACCCAGTGATATATGATGTGCATTAAATTGGCAAGTAGGATTCAAGAATGCCCGACTCCTTGTAAAGGATACCAAGTCAAGGCCAGAGTTGTTAGTATCAGCTGTAATTGTAGGATATGCAATGCAGAAACGAAGGGTGAAAGCCTAAGACTAAGGAGGATGGTTGTAAGGATGTCTGGAAATTGAGTTATGTAAGTTAATGTTCTGTGTTCTAAAACATCTTCCCTGTAATTGGACTCGGATGGGGAAGTTTGCCACTGTGGTGAGTAATCTCAGGCTGGGGTAGTCTGTCCTCATTTGCAGCTAGTCTGAACTGGTGTTGGAAATATTAATGCTCCCATGAGCCATGTGAGGAGAGTGCACTGTGTGAAGGTTATAAATCAATACATAACTTTTTTATGTCCATTCAAACACTGGGCGGAATTTTATGCAGCAATTCACAGCCCCCAAGTGGTTTTTTTCGGACACCAAGTGGGAAACTTCGGCCTTATTCTCAGAAATATGCCCCTTTGGGGAAGAGATTAATTTATCTGGGATGATCCTAACACCTGAAGTTTTCCTAAACACATCTGAGGGATCCTGGGCTAGAAATAGAGCCGATCAGAAACCCCGGTTGAAGGCAATTTGGTGGGACAAGAATGAGAAACTCTAGTTCCCTTGGACGGCCCAGAAAATGGAGAAATAACTCCACAGCCTTCAAAGGGAAAAGCTGGAGTCATTTGGAGCCCTCAACAGGTCAGGCTGTAAATAAATAAAATCCTTTTTTTAAAAATTGCCATATAATGTGGTTGGCGGGAGCACACATGGCTCATTAGGCCTCACTATTTAATCAAGTACCACCTTGTGTGTTGACCATCTTAAAGACAGTAGATAGTCCAAAGGGGCCATTACTGGTAGTAGAAACAGTAAGAAGGTTGCTTAATTTTACCCCCAGTTTAGAGCCCGATGCTATAGCTTACAGTTTTAATAAGGAAAGAGAACTGTGGATTTAAAAATATATACATTAGACTTAGATATTAAGGAAGGAAGATATTTCTGTTGAAAAATTCTTCAGGTCAATTCATTCACCCACTTGAAGACTATACCCACATGAACACAAACAAAATTTCCCAAATACCCGTTTTATTCTTGATGGTGAACTTTTTAGAAATCAAATCGATTCTTATTTTTGATTCTTTAATTAAAAGGATTCCTCCACATATTCTCACATGGAATACTGACTCACCTCGGAAGATTCGTCCTGATTAGACGAATAGTGAAATGCACACTGTGTTTTCCTCTGAACGGTTTTCTTGTTTTATTACAGGCTGCAATGTGCTACATCCATATAGCTGCTCTCATTGCAGAATACCTGAAGAGAAAGGGTAAGATGACCGCGACCGCGTGCAGGGAGAAAAGTCTAGAAGTTGACATGTTGAAACCTAAATTACAATTAACTTATTAATTTTAGGTTGTATTAATCTCAATTGTGTTTTATTAAGTAACATTAATTTTCACAGACATTTCTAATTATACAGTACTTATGAACTTTAGCTCTCTCGTGCCATTATCATGTTTATTTTATGCACAAAAAGGCTAACTCGTCAGCCTCTTAGTTCAAAATGAGAATGTTTCATTGGTTAATGATTAATAGTCTCATAAGCTTGTATTAACACTAACATGTAACAATGTCTTAACCTCATCTTGCACTACCATAGGTTACTGGAAAATGGAAAAGATTTGCACACCACCCCTGCTCCCGGAGGATATCCACCCCTGTGATAGCTACCCATTACTAACAGCTCCTGGTGGAGGAAGTGAGTGGCCTAACTCTCCCACATAAACTCCTTTACCCCCATGGAACAGTGCAAAAGAAATCACCTTGTTGCTTAAAGTCTACTTTGATAGAACTGTGAAATGTATTCTTAAAAGAAAAACTATCTCAGACCTTCATAACTACCACTCATAAAAGCTTGAAGCTCCTACCATTCCGAAATCTACCCAAATGTATGAAGTTTAGAAATGAAAAGTTCTCAGCATAGAGAACTGCATCTTTTCCAATATTTAGGATTACGAGTCATAGCCATATTTGCTACCAATCTGCATACTAGTTTGCCCTTGGGATTTTATTCTAAAATTGTTTAAAATTGCAAGAGAAATCTATTTTAATTTTGAAATGTAATAAGACAACTCATTCAAAACAAGGAATGCCAAAAATGTATATGCAGGACTCTATAATCATCATATTCCATTATCTTTTTTAAAAGCCTAAACCGATTCAAAAAACTTGCAACACATAATAATTTATAGTACTGATTCCCTTTAATGAAGAATATGTCATCTTTAAAGTTTGATGAAAGGTTTTGTAATAATAACTAAAGAATTACTCTTTGTAAAACATTTAGCAATATAGCTAATCCATTTAACTTGTTTTCTCTTACAAAGGTTTGTTCAAACCCAAAGGTTAAGGCCTGCGATCTATTTCCTAGTGCTCTTTTAATTTTCAAAATGTAGTGGAAAGCTCAGTGTAAGAAAAACAGAAACAAATCTTTAGATACTAAGATCAAAATAATTGAGCAAAAGGTAAATAGACTTTAGTTACAATATTTTGGAAGCATAATTAATCCCCTGTTCTTTTAAATATGCATATATTTTCTAAAGAATCTCAGTGGCTTTTCCAAATAAAGCATTTGAACCAAATGACTAAAATGAAAGGTGAGACAGTGAGGTCACTTACTTGAGGAGGAGACCAGACCTGGCCTCATGGCTCCTGTCCATGCTAAAATGCAGGGATCTTCCTGCTTAGTTTCACACTTAGGATTTAGCTTCCTTTTTATTTGCACGTCATCAAACTCATCACTGTTTTGTCTAATGTACCCTTCTTCCCCATCTATTTTGTATCATAATCAGACACTGTACAGCTCCATAAAGATGATTTCAAATTCTAACAAAAACAAAATTGAAAAAATCTGATAAAACTGGGGGTCAGTTTGAGAAATTGTGGAAATTTATATCCCAAAATATTTTGTGAAACTTTAATATTCAAAAAATGTTAAATACCCATTTCCAGACCTAAGGTAACATTGGACTCTACCATATCCATTTAGAAAAGAACATATTTGTTTAGTAAACTCTAGGAAAGGTGATTTTTATGATGCATTAACATATATTCATATCCATTGATATATACCTGAAGTCCTCAATATACTTTTATATTATGATGTTTCTAAATCAGAGGAATAAAGTATCTCCTTCAATACAATGTAAACATAATAAGAATATAGGCAAAGATAAACAACTCCAGAAAGTACAACTGTAATAATCATCATCCTGCAAAAAATATATCATGACTTTCTCTGCTATATATCCCTACTAGTGTATTGTCATATATTTTAATATATGTTTATTTCCAGAAGGAATATTATTATGCTAAAAAGTAGGGAAGTAGAATTTTTAATGCAAGGATTAAATTGCAAAAACTATTCTAATTATAATTTCAAGCACATTTGGGGAGTGATCATTTAGTTACATAGCTCATGAGCTGATAATTAAAAATGGAAACATCTCACAGAAGTATTAGCTATAATTTTAAAAGTACGTGTTCCATGTAAGGGACCACACTGGGATTTATACTGGCCATGTCTCCATTAGTTGCCTCTTATGTGTCTGAGTTAGGTGCTATTAGGGCCTCCTGTTTTCAAGTGAGAAAACCAAGAGAAGTGATACAATCCGACCCAGGGTGCATGGTTAGCTTGTGATGAGACCAAAGTTCAAGGGCTGGTCTGTCACTCCAAGCTGTGCTCCTGACTACTCAGATTCCCCACTGTTCAGTTCCAGTCCTTCCTCCAGGGACATCGCCCATAACCAACTATCTTTATATATTATCTGTAGAGCCAGATCTTTTCCTTCTTATCTTGGTAGCCACAGTGCTAGGAAATTTTAAGAAAGTTTCTAGATAATTCATAAGAGTGAAAATTGGCAAGGAATGAGCATTATTTCCGTAATGCATTGATCATTCCAGGTGTTTTCTCAAATATTAATGTTTTGAATCGCTTCAACCATCCTTTGAGATAGATATTAACATCTTCAGCCTAACAAATGGGGAGAAGCAGACTCAAAAAGTCTGGCTAAATTAGAACATTAGAACCATATCTATCTACAAATTCTATATTCTGTCCATGATTCCATGCCAGCTTCTAAAAGAAAATGTCATCTGAAAAATGATACAATTTTATAAAACAGGATGACTGGTTGCCCTGGAAAAGAATATTTATCAACAGAATTATCTACCCATCTTGTTGACTGTGTGAGTTTTATTGTACTACCACTTGTAACGTCATGAAGAAAGGCACTATCTTTTCCAAACAAGATTTGACTCAAAATAATAATGTCACATTTTGTTGGTCCACTCAAGGCATGTTCTCTATGGGCTGGCCAGCTTTTCTGAGCATTACACCAAATATTAAAGAAGAAGGAGCAATGAAAGAAGATTCAGGAATGCAAGACACACCGTACAATGAGGTTAGATCAATATAATCTAGTGTATAGTAACTGAGTAAAAAGATGCATTGAACTGGTACATTAAGCTAAATATGGAGGAGAAAATGTTATTCAGAAATCAGATTACTGAAGAATAGGACTTAGGTTAAGTGAAAGGCAGGCTAAAATTAAGCTGAGATTAATAGACCTCAAATTCCATTGATAAAGCATAATTTTCCATGAATATTTAAACTAAACTTTATTTCTCTAAGATGGACCCAAATATATAATGTCAGCTCTTCTATAAGATATGAAATCGTTGGTCCTTTGGTAAACGTCATAAGAGATGATGAAAATTTTGTGAGCGGTCCACAGCTTTTTAGTGCATTAGAAAGTTTGTTTGTAAATACACTTGAACAGAAAGGCTCACTAGTTTCTGCAAAAAACCTTTTGATTTGCAAACCATGGTTATTTTTTATTAATTCAAAACAAGCTTTCTAGTGTTGATTTACATAGCAACAATTCTGATAAAGAAAACAGAGCTCCCTCATCAAGTAAATAAAATATTTCACCAGCTAATTGCTTAAATTTTAATGTTACATAGATTGAAAAAAAAGGGTACAGAAAGCAAGTTTTGGGGTGGATTTTTACTTAAAATTTATATAGTTAATGTTGATTTAGTATACCTTACAAACAAACAGTAAATGCAACAACATATTTGTTAACTATTTCAAATAACATCTAAGAATCTTTTCTTCAGGGGCGCCTGGGTGGCTCAGTGGTTAAAGCCTCTGCCTTCGGCTCAGGTCATGATCTCAGGGTCTTGGGATTAAGCCCCGCGTCGGGCTCTCTGCTCAGCAGGGAGCCTGCCTCCTCCTCTCTCTCTGCCTGCCTCTCTGCCTACTTGTGATCTGTCTGTCAAATAAATAAATTTAAAAAAAAAAAAAAGAATCTTTTCTTCAAAGACATTGTTGAAAAGATTCCTACAATATTATCCACTTCCTTTAGTGAATATATAATTTGATTCAGCTGAATATTCTTTAAACCACTAGTATATGTGAGGCACTGAGTTCAGGGTGGAGGACAAAGATAAATAAGACATAATGCTGACTTTCAAAGAGCTTAGAATCTTGAGAAGGACAAATTTTTTCAGGGTGGGGACTAGCTAGTCCAAGACCCAACAACTATAAATCTAGGCAATTAAAGGGAAACTTTTTAAGTGACAGTGACTGGGATGCAGATGGATGGGACATATATGAAAGCTCTCCAGACTTTTACACGGGATCTTGACATTGATGGGACTTGAAGGTGCCAAATGAGAAAATAAGGTTCTTATAGCTGCAGCCACAACATAGGTAAATGTGTGGAGGTGCAAAAGGATTCTGAGACTGGAGTAGTACGGGATGGTATAACCAAAGTGCAAAGTCAGTGGCAAGTGGGGGGTTGGACTGAAAGGGAGGTTGGTGCCTGACTGTGGAGCTCCTTCAGTGCCATGCTAGAGAGTTTGGATGGCCATTCAGAGATACTGGAGTTCCTACAAAGTTCTAGGGCGGAGGAGAGCTTGAGATCAGATTTACGTTTTAGAAAGAAAGATTCCTGGAGAACAACACGTAGGATGGACCAGAGTGGGAAACAGATTACTAGAAGACCACTATGGGGTCTGGAAGTAAAGGAAGAGGGGTTTGATCTAAGGCAGGGACCATGGAACGGGAAAGGACTAGACAGAGCTGAAGGCATTTTGTAGATTCAAATTAGCAAATTTGAAGGACAAATTCAGTGATGGAAAGAGAAGAATCTGAGAAGATACCACCATCCCTTCCAGGATGGTGTAAATGCCAGTAACAAAGGGAACACAGCAGCCCTGCTATAAAGAAAACTGACAGTTTAACAGTTTTGAAAACAAGTTTCAGGGATGAACCACAATGCGTACACTGTGTTTACACAATCGTGTAAAATCTCATTTTGGTTTGGGGAATTACAGAATATCCTGGTGGAACAGCTCTACTTGTGTGTGGAGTTTCTTTGGAAGTCTGAGCGATATGAACTCATCGCTGACGTCAACAAACCCATCATCGCTGTCTTTGAAAAGCAGAGAGATTTCAAAGTACGTTTTCTGAGGCCAGACCTTGGTCAAAACATCCTGCTTTAAGTTGGTGAATTACTTACAATGTTCAAAAAAGAGAAACTCTATGTTTTTTGTGTCAGCATCACCTTCATGAAACCCTTTGATTTATGGTTTCAGAAATTATCAGATCTCTACTACGACATTCATCGGTCATACCTGAAAGTTGCAGAGGTGGTCAACTCTGAAAAACGGCTATTTGGTCGCTACTATCGTGTAGCATTTTATGGGCAGGTAAGTTCAACAGAAGCTACGTGGCCTCTACATTCTGTTAAACAATGAAACTTTGTCTTTCATTCTCTATGAGACATCAAACTCCACATGCCAAGGGATTGAGAGAATGTGGGTGTATCTGGGTATGTCTGAGGGGTTTTCTGGATGTGAGGGTCATATGTTTTTCCACGGGAATGCAGTGAACTGGGGAACAAAAGGGTAGAGAAATCCAGGGGTCTTAATACAGATCTAGTTAAACCATGATTAACTTCTTGGAGAACGAGAGCGTTTATTTTTCGGCATCATCTTCTTCCCAGTTAACCCCAAATATCTAATTACAGTTTCACATCCTATGTTAAGGTGAAATTAAATTAAACGTGTTTTGAGGAATGAAATTCATAGCATTCTGGGAAATAAAGAATTCCTAGGGCTTCCACCATGTCAAAGCCCTTTGACCATACAGTCATGCATTTTCTTTCCTCCTCCTTCTGAACTACCACTGATTCCAGGCAGAACACCGTTTTATTTTTTTTTTTTCTGTACTGTAGGTCAGTATAACTGTTGCGTTATCTTCCCCAGCCTCCCACCTTAGCAGTGAACCAGAATAATAATATTAGTGACCCATAGCATTAGCCAGAAAATTAAGTAACATATTCTCTATTAATTATGAGTGTCTCTGAGCAGTGCTTTAAGTGGAACAAACCCAGGCACCACCCTGCTTCTTTTCAAGAAGGCTTATAACATGATGACATTGCAGCAGGCATACCTCGGATTCTGACCTGTGTGCACGGACGCTCCATCCTTTTATTTTCATATGACCCTGCCTTGTTTCCTTTCCTACTTTTCCCTCACATAAGACAGTGTTGCCGATAGCTTCTTTTTCTCCTCAGAATGTTCAAAGGCAGTAGCTGAAGAAGTCAAATCCAGCATGGTCATTCCATATTGCTTGCCATTAAAGTCTTTTGAAAAACATCTGTTTTCCCCTAATTGCCAAAGGCAGCTTAAAAACTAATTTCTGAATTAATAAAGATTAGCTGTTCTCCACCTGGAAAGAGAAGTGTTACCCATTACCCACTTACCATAAACGAATTCATCCAACTCAGATTTTCCTCCTCACATAGCAGCACCAGGATTGCAGAGATAGCCAAAACTAGCGGAGACAGTCCACAGATACAGACTAAATGTAGACATGTGTGGGGTCTACACATGTCTACATGTGTAGTATACCTTGAAGTGATGGTGTACCTTGCAGGGAGAAAATGGGGGAAGCTTCAGGGGAGGATGAAGAAGGTAAGGGAATGATATCTTGAACATCATGAAGGAAAGAAGCAATATTTGACCTTGGTGAAACATTGACAGGAAAAGTGGCGGAACACCCCATTGGAAAGGAAATGTGTGTGTTGAGGGATGGCAGAGGGAAAGACAGGGTTTTCAGGGAATGGTCACAGGCTAACTGAGCAGCAAGGAAGTGACAAACAAGATTCAAATCTACAATCCTTCCAAAGAAAAAGTAGTAAATTGCCATGAATAGTCCAGTCTTGAAAGCCAGATTGCCCACCTGATGGTTTCTCCAGCCGGTCTCTAATATAGGGATACTAAACAGGTAGAAACAAATGCTGCTCTTTTCCTACCAGATTTTAATGCAGACGTTTACTCTTTCCTTCTTTTGGTCTTGATGGTTCCAGGCTGTGGTAAGTGTTCTCTTCTCTGTTTGCATGTTCTAATATCCTCACACTTCCCTCCATATAGTCATACTGAACCTTAACTTTTTGTGTGCAAATCAACGTTTGGTAAAAAGGTGAGATTATCCTGCTTCCCTTCATTTTGGAGTCATCTGGCATTTCTTGAACTAAATTGTGTTTATTCCAGTTATCTGAATTACAAAAATGTATCGTTTACTTTTCACATATATTATCATTCTACACAAAGGTAAATGTGGTTTAAAAACCTGCGTAAACACACGTGCCCTTGTGTGCACACCCAGGTAAATATGATCACCACATATTTGCAGTATTTGTAGGATAGACTTAGTATTAGAGATGATCTGCTCATTTCAGACCACTGGGAACTGCAACTGATGAAGAAGGGCGTGGTGGTCAGATTTTTAGAAGTTGGAGTTGTTGCCATTGACAGGCTCCTTCCCAGGCTCCGGAAAGAACCTTGTTCCTTTCCACATAAGTATTGTGGAGAAACAGGGCTCTCTGTAGTGGTGAGCTCTGAGAATTCTCAGCGGTAATGGTCTTAATACCCAATGCAAAAGATGACCAGTGGACTAAACCTTAAGCCAGCAGGGCAGATTAGGTCTCCTAAAGATTCAGAGAGAAGTGATGTAAGAAATTCTGGAAAGCCAGCAGAGGCAGAAATAACGTGCCAGCACCTAAAGCTCTGTGACACCAAAGAATCTTTTTCCCTTTTTGAACCATGTAAAAGTGCCTGTAGTCATACATTTTTTTAAAAGATTTTATTTATTTATTTGACAGACAGAGATCACAAGTAGGCAGAGAGGCAGGCAGAGAGAGAGGCGGAAACAGACTCCCCGCTGAGCAGGGAGCCTGATACGGGGCTCAATCCCAGGACCCCGAGATCATGACCTGAGCTGAAGGCAGAGGCTTTAACCCACTGAGCCACCCAGGTGCCCCTATAGTCATACATTTTTTTACCTACAAAAATTATTCACCATAATTCAACATAATTATTGCTAATTAAGCTGGAAAAACAAATTCTTTTCATTATCCACACATTGCCTGTCCACATTTGGCTCTGCTCATCTGACCACAACATACTTTTTTGTAATTCTTTAAGCCCTCCCCATGTCCATACCAAGATTTTCTACCTTCATTTATAAAATGGGGGTCATGGGTCCTTAACTCACCTACTAAAAGAATACTTGAAACCCCTTGTACTAAATAGACTGAGGTGGGGGTGGGGGAAGAACTGGGAAGAGCTACTTTCAAATGATCTAACTTTGTTCTTTTTGCAGATTTCTCAATAACGAGTGCTAATTGCACATTTGGCCTTTTTTTTTAAATATGTGCCACCAATATTCTCAATTGTCTTTTATTAAAAATTCCAACCTAAGCTTAAAAGTGTTTTGTTAAATCTGCAGACCTGAGTGCACGCGAAGGCATGGTACTTTATAAGCTCAAACTCCAGCTGCCTTTGAACAAAAACTAATGGGTCTTCTTGATACACAGCCATTTAGAGCCTCAGTCATCAAATGAAATTCAAATACCTGTCCCAGGATACCAAATGGAGAATATGAACTATGGTATTCAGTAGGAGCAGACGGTGCACAGCAATTTACACTTGATGATAAAGAAATACCAACTAGATATGAACATTTCCCTGAACGTGTACAGAATGAAGGTTCCAAAGATCTAAGATAAAGTCTTAACTACTTGATTAGCATAATCCCCATAGTCAGAAATAATTTCTTTTCATCATGGTACTTTATGTCTCTGTAAAATTCATCTTTTAATATCCAAATTGGCATGTCTCACAATCGTGTTGCAAAGATTATGAGAATATAATATGCAGTAGGCCTTTTGCCTTCACAAGGCCTTTGGGTATTTTAGTGTCCCATGTGGATAGTGTTTCTTTACGTGGTATTGGCTAGAGTAGTTAATATTATGTCTGCAATGAGCCAGACAATAGAAAACAAGTTGGAAACTGTTCTTTCATGGCAGGAAATTAAATTGCAAGTCTTGCATAGCATGAATTTTCTAATGGGACACCTGGCATCACTGACTATGGGAATAATTTTACACAGAGCAGCCCATATACAGCACCCTCCAAAGTGTCCCTAAAGTATTCATTTCCAGAGTAATGAAACAACAGTAGTAATCAAACATCAGCTGTAATCAATGAAATACTTAGGCTCTGATATTTAGCATGTAAGGAAGCAAGTGAATGCCCATTGCATAACTTAAAACATCAGATGCTCCCAGAATGAATAAATCAAAGGCTGTGGGAAATTTTCTTCTCTTGACCAAAGGATATAGAGTCCCGGATTCTCAGTCATGCCTACATGGGTGTAGATGTATCTCAGAATCTTGATAGACTAGTTTAAGGGGAGGAGGGAAGGTGCATTCTGGATTCATTCCTTCTCCATTCTGGATTGTGATATATCCTTGTGGCTCCCCATCTATATGAAAACCATTGATAAAAAATGTGCATTTTAATACATAAAATAAGTATACAAAATATGTATAGAAAGAAAGACATATTTATATGAAAACATTTCTTGGAGCTTCTCTTCTCATAGTATTTAGCCTATTTTTAATACTTTCTGACCCACATTTAGACATAAGGTTCCTCTTAGGATGCGTTCCTTTGTGAATTTTGGATTACTTAAGTACAATGGCAGGGGCACTTATATTTGACATCCCAATAATGACTCAAAGTCATTGCAAAAATCTGCAAAAACATCTAAGAAGGAGTCCAAGAGTCTTTTTAGTTGTCTTCAGTTTACTGAAGTGCATTTTTATCATAATCTATTGCCTTCCAGTTTCATAATCTATGTATGTTAACTCTACTGATTCAAAGTCCTTGTTTAACTGGAATATGTGCTATTTCCTAATGATAACTGATCAGAACATTTATCACATTGTACAGTGACATTTAGAAAATCAAACTAGCAGGGGAAATGCACATTTCCTACTGCTCTGAAATGCAGTCTACTCATAACCTTGGGACTAAAACAAAACAGAAACTGCCCGTGGATTTTCATCATCTGGGTCCCTCATTATAAATCATGTATTTCATAGAGCTGAAATTGAAACTTAAGACAATGTCCTGTGGCTCAGCGGGCTGTGCTTTGATAGTTTCCCTAGGTGAAAAGTAGGCGCACATTCCAAATATTTTCAGAGCTGCCGTTGATCCGGCTCCAAAAGCTCTTACATGATCCCAGGAAGACACCGATTAAATTTTTAATTCTGCTACTCCAGCTCCTTTCTCCTTATTTTGGAAGACAGGCCCAACACGTTGATATTTCCAGGCTACGTACATAATAATCACAATTTTTTTTCTGATTAATCACTTACCAAAATATCGAAATCAACACGAGTAGACTTTTTACAATGAGGAGAATTGTAGAGTTCGTGCAAGAGAAGCTGAGGGTATGTATTTTTAAGTACTCGAAACAGTTAAACGGTGTTCCCCGAACGTTAGCCAGAGCTCAAATTGCTCTAGTGACCCAGAATGTTCTTTGTTACCGCTCTCCTTCTCATCACAGCTAACACACACCAAGGGCCTATTGTGTACCAGGCACTGTTCTTGGGGCCTTCCAGTAGAGTTCTGAGTCTGTACCATTTCCCATCCCCCAGATCAAGGAGCAGGATTGAAAGAAGGTCACAGTTCATGACCAAGGCCATGCGGTCATAATAATGACAAGAAAATCCTGCTTCCCACCCCTCCTTTCCGGCTAACCCTGGATTCAGAAATTTGTTAGAGGAAAAAAATCTCAGTGAAATGTCTCTTTGTGCTGGTTTTCACAGCGTGGTGAGAAAATCTTTTCCTGGAACTTGGAGACATTTTTCTTATTGAAAAGGAAGTTATAAGTGTTTCTATGGCTCTTGCCCTGTGGAGGTGCTGGTTGATGGCCTCAGAAGCCGTATCTCTCTCATGTGTCAGTCTGTCAATTTAGCCACTAACTTCTGACCTTGAATCAGACAAATCTTCACAAAGACAGCAACAGAGAAATCATGGCAGGCTGGAAGTCATGTGGGAACTGAGCCAGACCTCACTTACCCCTACCAAGTCTTGAGGAAAGACCGCAAGGTGCTTTTCATGCTCACGACACTCCAAGTCACTTCTTAAAGCAGTTTGGGGTCAGGACACTAGTATATTCAGCTGTGTTGAACAGTCTCAAAGAAATCGTTCAATAAAAACATCTTGATTAAAATCCATAGAATCTTTTCCAGCTATACCTGGTGCAAATATACCCTTTTTTTAGATGTATGCCCTCTGAGAATTATTTCATTCACCTGTTTATTCATTCGACAAATGTAGAGTGAGTTTCCCTTAAGAACCAGCACTGTGTTAAACACTGAACGTGCCCTGTTGAAAAAAGACCCTTCTCTGCCTTTAAAAAACGCAACATCGATTTTGGGAAACGCTTGACAAAGCCTGTGCTGGTGAATGTGCCTTGTTTGTCGTCTTCACTTGCCACCCACTTAGGATAGAAAGTACACGGCTCACGGTGGTCACACCTGGACAGATGTGCATTTTGATCATTATTCTTAGATCACCTCACATGAGCCAACAAGATTATGCATATTTGTTGTTACATATAATGAGTATTTTTTTAGTCAAAAATGATAAAAACAAAAAAAGCACAGCTAAGGCTTTTCTGATCTGCAGTATCTTCACTTGGCCCTCGAAAGCCGTTTCCATGAGGTAAATTCTGCAGTCAGGAGAAAACCACATGTGCTGGGATTCTTAACTCCCGACTTTACCTAGTCTTCTGAGGTCACATGAATCCCACAGGAAAGATGCACCTGTATCTCTTCAAAAGGAAGGAGTTATGAAGACTGCCTTACCGAGTGATCCTCAGATAATGAAATCCTACCTTCCCACAGTTTCAAATCAGACAACTATAATTAGTAGAGGTTAAAACCTACTTGCACCTATGGCATAAAAATGACGACGTGGTTACTATTTTGAATCCCAATTCTAGCTTTGCAAGAATGTAAAAGATCTATTAGTAAAGTCAACTGAGTGATGAAATTGCATATGTTGCTTTGGGCCTCTGAAGACATATTATAGTTATTTTAAAAATAGCAGTACTTGGGAGCATACCATATGTCATTTCTGTGATGACAACGATCCAAAGTATGTTGGCTTTGCATCTAAAATGGCACGGGACTCGTATCAATGCATAGCTTTAGATACCGTTCCATAACATACAGGGTTTCCTATGCTAGTTTCAAAGACGTGCAGAAGACCTTATTTAAAAAGGCCAAAAATTACTCCAGACTCTGTGTTCTACCCCAGGCTGCCACAAGAGGGCATTCTTCTCCCAAAATATATGCAAGCAGAGTTTACCACTGATTTCTACAAACAGAGAAAACATGTGTCTAAGATTATCTCACAAGGGTCTTTAGCCTGGTCAGGAGTGTTTCATTAACGACTGATTCTAACATGATATTTTGTTTTCTTTACTTGACATTTTCTGATTGTGAATTTTATAGGGTGCTAATTAATCAATGGCTTGGGTGACAACGGAAGACTGGATGTATTGTTTAAGCAGAGTTTTTGTTTTGCTTGTGATTTGCGATTTGAGTTCCCTAAAAAAGTTGGTGGTTCATTATGTCTCTCCCTTAGGGCTTTTTTGAAGAGGAGGAAGGTAAAGAGTATATTTATAAAGAGCCTAAACTGACAGGCCTCTCTGAGATTTCCCAAAGACTGCTCAAGCTCTACGCAGATAAATTCGGAGCAGACAATGTGAAGATAATCCAGGATTCCAACAAGGTAAAGGAAAGCCCGTATTCACACAAGTGTGAGGAGTTGACTTAATTTTTTCTAACTTTAGTAGTTAAAGTTTTCATTTTCTGCCTGACTGTGCAAAGTAAACCACCTCCACTATTTCGGATGTTTTGCTCATTTGTTTATTGGCTGGTTGATCAGTGATTTCTTTTTTCTTTTGTCAATAATGTTATATACATGTTTATTCAAATAACTTACAGATAATCATAGAAACAATTTACTAAATTCTGTACTTATGCCATGGGTTATTTGTTTGCATTTGAACAGCAATCTAAGGGTTAAAGTGATTGGGCCCAGTGGTGGAGTTGGACGAAACAGCACAATGTATGTATTCAGTCATGGAGGTCTTTGGGAGTCATACCAATTTTGAAATCTGTCCTCTGTGACAGTGGCAGACTTGTATTAACCCGAAAACATTCATTTTACTTCCTCATGGCTGCATGAAGCAAGGGCTTACATTCTCTGATTAGATTAGTCAAAATTGGATCTTCTAGTGTGCTTCCATTCATTTAGCCAACTTTATCAAGCACCTACTACATGCCAGGCCCAGAACTAGCAGCTGGGACACATGGAGTCTCTTCCTTCCAGAGTTCACAGTTCATATAGGGTTAAGAAGAGAAGAATATATGAGAATAGTTAATTAAATAGAGACAGTGAAGTACCACAAGAGACATGGTCCAAGTCACATGGAGAAAGCTCAGGGCTCCCTTAACAGCTCATTCTTGGCTGGGCAATGCTCCACAGGGGAAGAATGTTTGCTCTGGGAATTGCAGAGTGAGAAGGTGTCTGCTGGAAGCATAGGGCATTCTAAGAAGCCCAGCACAGGCAATGCCAGGAAGGAATGAAAGCAGGAGGTGTGTTTAGAGCCTGCCAGGTCTCAGAATCACAGTTTGGAGAGAAGAGCGTGGCAGAGTGAGGGAGCCGGAAAAGCTGGTTTGTGCCCAAATGTAGAGGCTGTTCCTAGGCCACAAAGGAAAAGGTCTTTTCACGCCTCTCCTCTTTTACACAACTGGTATTTGGAGCAATCTGGGCCTGAGGCTACTGGATCCAGACTGAAGTTGTGACAATGGGCTCATCATTCTCTCCCTTAGCTGGAAAGGTACAAGCCCCTTCCCCATGAAGGTGGACAGAACTGGAACTACTGTCACGGTGGTTCTCTGAAATAGGGGGCATGGACAGAGTTTCTAGTGGTTTCTAGAGTTTCTGTCGAATTTGGTGTCAGACCACTGGAGTCTTCATTCCACCAGAATACCTCCTATCAGCCGGTGATCCCTCTTGGAGAAACTAGTGGCCACTCTGAAGCTCCTTTTTTTTTTTTTTTTTTTTAAATCTGTAAAGTGGTTACAATTATACTCATTTTACAGGGTAATTTTTAGGAGCATTACAAAGAAGTTCTCAAGCTTCCTCAAGTCTCTGGAATCAGATAGGCAGCAAGCAGTTAAACAGATGGAGAAAGCTGGAGGATGTTGGAAAATTCTTCCAGAAATCATTAGGAAAGAGGATGAGACTCATCTCTTCCAACCTTGAAAAATAGCAAAAGCCATTCCCTGGCTGTTCTTGGGACCCCCCCCCCCATCTGCCTGCCTTGTTGTTTGAGAAGGCTAGTCACTGCAGCAGAGTCAGTAAATACATTATCTAGGATGATTTATTGCAGATAAAAGAAAAAAAATAGAGAAACTGAAAATAAAAATATTGGCACTCATGAAATAGGTGAATCAGTTAATCCTCTAAACAGACGAAGAACCTCCTTCCACATTACAATCCCAGAGCCCATGGCCTCAGTCTAGGTATGTAGTTGAATCCTGGAGGGACCAAGAGATACATTTCTACGCTCAAGAAGCTCATATTCTAGGGGCACCTGGGTGGCTCAGTGGGTTAAGCCTCTGCCTTCGGCTCAGGTCATGATCTCAGGGTCTTGGGATCGAGCCCTACAGCAGGGCTCTCTGCTCAGCAGGGAGCCTGCTTCCTCCTCTCTCTGCCTGCTTCTCTGCCTCCTTGTGATCTCTGTCTGTCAAATAAATTTTAAAAATCTTTAAAAAAAAAAAAAAGAAGAAGAAGAAGAAGAAGAAGCTCATATTCTAGACAAAGGTAGGGGTATTCATTACAGAAGAGAAAGAAGATCAAAGATTAAATTATATGCCCTAAACAGGTACTTAGGTGTCCAAGAACCTCAGCTCCTTGGAGGGCTGGCTCCAACCCACCTCTGCCGCTGTCTGGACCACCGTCCAGCCAGTTCCCCTTACTGTTGCTTCAGGTGGCCCAGCTCTGAAGCGATGCCATCGCCTATCTTTCCCCGCGGGGACAGGGACAGGCCCCTCCCTCGGGAGGCCGGCGGCGGGAAGGCAGAGCCTTCTCACTTCCAGGAGCCCCTGGGGCTCACACTCCTTCTTTTGCCATAATGTGTTAACCCAGGTAAACCCCAAGGATTTGGACCCCAAATATGCCTACATCCAGGTGACCTATGTCACGCCGTTCTTTGAAGAAAAGGAAATAGAGGACCGGAAGACGGACTTCGAGATGCACCACAACATCAACCGCTTCGTCTTCGAGACGCCGTTCACGCTGTCGGGCAAGAAGCACGGCGGCGTGGAGGAGCAGTGCAAGCGGCGCACGGTCCTCACCAGTAAGTGCCCTCGCGCGGGGCCTCTCCTCGCGGGCTGCGCGGTGGCTCTCAGGTTTGCTGACGAGGACCCGGGACGCGCTAAATGCGACGTGTGTGCCGGGAAGCGCCTCCTTCCCCTCCTTGGGAAAGTCGACAGGGAGAGAAATTCTCAGTAGAGCTACTTAATGCACCTCTTCCCTTTAGACGTTCCAGCCGTCAAGGTCATGGTGTGCACATCCTGGGAGAGGCACTGGGAACTTCCCCCTGCCCTCTCCCTGAGCCTGCCCCCAGGGATTTCAGGGTTAGCAGCTCTCCCAAGTGTGTGCCTTGGGACCAAATTCCAAACCACTCTGGAATTCAGGCTTCTCATTTGTAAACTGAAGGCAAGGGATGACCTCCCCCGTTCCTCTCAGCACCCTCTAGATCTAGTCTATGAGTTAGTCATCCTTTTACCTATTTGGTAAACATGCCATGAGGGCCTGCGAGGGGCTGGACACTCTCCCGGGAATTTAAATAAATGAACCCCGAGTCTTGCCCTCAATGTGTCCACGGTCTGGTAGGAGAAAACCAAGTAAAGCAAGAAATCCAGGCGAGCATGGCCTGAGAAAGAAAAAGGGAAGGCACAGGTAATCCCCCTGGGCGGGGGGGCGGTCTCCTAGGGCAGACCAAAGAGAAAGTTGAGCAAAGGTGTTCTGGAGGAATCTTGAGAGATGAGCAGTCCTGGAGTACGCAATAGATACAATAGCAGTGTCCCAAATTATAGGAAACATTCATCTTCGGTAAACTTTTCCAGAACTTTTATCATCAAAAAATGAGAACAAAACTATCATACTATATGCTACTGAGTACACATTTAAGCATTCTTTAGGGTGGTTTAGAATAGTTTTTATTTGAATTAGAAGCTGGCGGGGGGGGGGGGGGCGATACTGTTTTAAGACTCTAAAAGCCTAAACCCAGCCAACAGATGAGTAGTTGTTGGCTAGCCAAATGTAGAAAAGCAAGCCAGGTGACAGCCGCTGGGCCCCAAGCTGAGATGTGAGACACCACAGTACAGTGGAGGAAAAATAACTCACATACACAGAAACCATGCAGAGTGGAAGATGCTGTATGCAAAAAAAAAAAAAAAAAAAAAAATTCGTCTGGACCTTCCAGTGCCACCCCGGACTCACCTCACTCACCTCAACCTTTACCTTCTCTTGCATATCTTTTGTGCAGCAAGTCACTTGTTCCCATATGTGAAGAAGAGAATACAAGTCATAAGCCAGTCGAGCACAGAACTGAATCCTATCGAAGTGGCGATTGATGAGATGTCCAAGAAGGTTTCTGAGCTTAACCAGCTTTGCACGATGGACGATGTAGACATGATCCGACTGCAGCTCAAAGTCCAAGGAAGCGTCAGCGTGAAGGTAGGTGCTCTCGGAGCGGAGAAGCGCTTGTTATAATGTGAAGCCTGGTATAAAACACCCTAGAAATTCTTTACAAAAGGGCTAAGAGAGACTTTTTTCTGTGTGATACCATCCAGCAACTTTATCTGAGTCTTTCAAATTTTGTTTCGCTGTAAGTACACATGGATGGTGCTAAACACCAGGAGATAAACCTTTTTATTTTTTTAAATTTTAGCCTAAATAAAATTTCTTCATCCTCAATCCTCCTTTCCCATCTCCTCTGGATAAACTATGTTCTATATTCTAAAATCTAACCAATGAATTAATTAATGAATAATAAATGTGGCTTTCTCATCTGTAAGTAAAAGCCTTATGAAAGTGTTCCAAAACAAAATTCTTAAAAGTGTATTAGTTCATAAGATGTGTGTCAGTATTTATCTGACTGTCACATGTCTGAGAAGCTGCAGATGGCCTGCTCACAGTGGGGGATTAAAGAATATATAACAAGCAGACTGTTTGCAAAAGCATAAGCAGTATTTAGGAAAATCAGCAAGGTGGGCGCAGGTCCTAGCTAGAACGTTATCCCCTAGATCTGAAGACAAGGGGAGAGAAGAGTGAATGGGAGCAGAGAGAGAGCTGGGAGAGCCAGCTGGTGAGACAGACAGAGCCGCCTCTGCTAGATAGAAGACCACAAGGAGGAAACCCTGGGTCCAAAAACACCCTGACCAGCTGAGACTAGGGAGGGGTAAGCAAGGCACTCACCTTGGGCACAGAATTTAAATAGGCATCAAAACACTCAGTACCCACCATAAAATAATATTAATGCAGGTTTTTTTAAAATAAAAAATGTCAAAAATTTATAATGAACCAAGTGTTCACATTGTAAATAAAGGCAGGCCAGTAAGTATGCCCTGTGCAACTACGATGGAGCCCAAGGCAAAATCAGGAATACAGATCCTGATGATCTGCTCTCCGCTTCTGCACCTACCTCTCTTCTGTGTCCCCCATGGCTGACTCAAAATAGCAATAATAATAAATCTTTTAGAGCCAGAAAGCAGAAGACCCATTGCTGTACTCTAAACGGAACAGCTTCCCTCAGCACATAGGTGTGTCAAGGAAAGTGAGCATTGGATCTAGAGAAGCAAAGGAGAGTATCCATAACGTTTACTCATTCTACCATGCAGGCAATCCCTCCCCCATAAGGGCCTTTGAAGACAACTCTAATACAGTGTTAGCTTCCTTCTTCTGTGACCGTATTCCTTCCAAGCCCTACAGTCACAGCAAAACGCTACAAACACTAAAGAATATGGACTCCTTCACAAGTGTGAGCCTACTCATGTGTGTGCACGTGAACGGGACCTGGCATTGTGCATTCACTCAGCAAATCTGATAAATGCTTCCTCCGGCCAGTATCTAGGCCAGACTGTCAAGTGGAATACAGTCAAACAGCGTTTCCCAGGACGGCACATAGACCACCACCATGGAATGTCACTTGTTAATAGTTCAGTGTTTATTGTAATGTGAACAGAAAAAAAAAAAAAAAAGTAGCACATCAAACATTTGATTTCACAGATGTTAAAATTAAATGGATTTAAAGTAAGGAAAAATGAGTCGCGTTTTCAAAGATAGTGAAAAAATAACGGTGCAAGCCGAGTGCAGATATGACAAAAATGGGAAATGATGGGCAAGTGACAGTTTGCGAAGGGTGGTCATGGAGTACAGCACTCAGATTCGTCCTTCAGGAGCTTACTACTGAGTTAGAGGACAGCAGATGAGAGAGGTAGCACATCATTAGGTCACCAGGCTCTGTGAGAGGATTGGGGTGCTGCGTGATTGGTTCTACTCCTTCCAGCGGTGGAGAAGGCCCCATCCAAGGAAGAGATGGGATGGTCCTCAGCCAATTCTCTTCTCCCCAACAGGTTAATGCTGGGCCTATGGCCTATGCACGAGCTTTCCTTGAAGAAACCAATGCAAAGAGATACCCTGATAACCAAGTAAAACTTTTGAAGGAAATCTTCAGGTAAGTTTTTCTGTGTTGGAATGTACCTCCTCCAGGTAGCAGAATCTCTCAGCAGCTTGACTCGGAGCTGCCACTTTCTATGGCTAATTGGTCATTTGCTTTTCACTGTCAATAAAGGCAATTTGCAGATGCATGTGGGCAAGCCCTTGATGTGAACGAGCGGCTCATCAAGGAGGACCAGCTGGAGTACCAGGAAGAACTGAGGTCCCATTATAAGGACATGCTTAGTGAACTCTCCGCAATCATGAACGAGCAGGTAAGACTTGGCTTGAGGTGGCCCAAGCTGCCACGTTATAGAAACTGTCCATTCTGTCCCTAGTGCCAGAAGGACTGTAAATGTCCCTTTTCTTACATGAACAGCATGAGCACAGAGGTTCTCACTCCTCCATGTCCAAGATTCTTTGCTTCTCAAAGCAGAGATCAGGTTAGGGGAGAAAAAAATCTATGGGGGGGGGATGAGAACCCAAGTAATTTCCAAAGTTTCAGGTATGTTTATCCAAACTCTATGCAAAGTTGGCTTTCTAAAATAGATGGAACCTTTTAGACACCAAGGAACACAGGATGACATTCCACTAGATTTGCTGCCTCTCCTGTCACCCCAATGTACACCTCTGCAACGCCCAAGTTGTGAGATGGAGTTCTACCACCAGGGGTCTCTGCACCATACTCGAGAAGAACCCTAGGTCTAAGGTCAAGGCTTTGTAAGGTCCAGACTGCACCTACAGAGGCTGGGAATTCCTGAAGATGTGCAGAATTGGGTAAAACTTAATCCTCTGCCCCACCAGCAGGTCATCCACGCATCTAGCATGTTCCATAAGGGTGTGCACAAAATCTGGATATTCATTAATCACAATACTTTTTGAGGCGCAGAAATCAAGTGGAAAAGCTAAGGGCCACTCTTTGACTTTCCAGTATCCATCAACTCCCACACCTGGACATCCCGACCTAGACATCTTACTACTCACGGTCTTCTCCAGGAGTTTGATGTGCTCTTTACAGAATAACTGAGCAGGAGAATTTGAATAATCTCCTAACAGTGCCTCATGCACAGCAGCCACTCATTAAAAATTAGTTCCCCTTCTTTTCTTTAAGCGGCCTGGCACTATCAACACTATTCACAAAGCATGAAATGTATCTCATGCATGTTTTCTTCCCAGTGCATTTCTCATTGTTTCTTTTGTCTTCTTTTCCGTCTCCTTTTACCCACATTTTAAACTCTCCAAAGTAGCTAGGGGAAGAAATTGGTTAATTGTTTACGTTGGAGATCATTAATCTCCCTGGATAGGATTTCTCAATGAGGGATTATTGTTAGTGGGATTTGGGATTATGAAGGGACGATGGGAATTAAAAACTCAAGAGAGATGCCTCGGTGGCATGGGGGCAATCATAGATCTGAGAGTGAAACAAAAGAACGAGCAGTGGACCTTAAAGCTGGAAAAGGTGGTGAAGAAATGTTCGTTTCCAACTATAAATTACATCTGACCTTGAAACTTCGGGCAAAAAATACTTTTCTCTTTTTTTTCCTGGCAGCTCTGTCGCGGTCCGTGTCTATACAGCTTCTGTTCCTCTGTGTCTAGTATTTCCCTCAGTACTATAAGCAAAAGTGGTATGTTTTTCTTTCCTTATGTCTACACTGTCCTTTGTGGCCTTCTGGTCTGCCTATCTCTTCCTAGTTGCTCGTATTCCCCCAGACACCTCCACCGTGGCTAGTGTTCTCTGAGTGTTTATTTAATTAGAACAATTTTATTTCCATTTCGAGATAGACTGATGTTAAAAAAAAAAAAAAGCTTGCTGATTAAAGTTAAAAGCTTATCTTTTATTTATTTTTTTTAAGTAGGCTCCATGCCCAACATGGGGCTTTAACTCACAACCTTGTGATTGAGAGTTCCATGCTCTTCCAACTGAGCCAATGAGACACCCCAACAACTTAGCTTTTAAAAAGAAAATTCATACTCAGCCAATTTGTAAAATATATTTGAGGTCAATTGTATCTGAAACAAAGATTCAGTATACCTCAAATTGCAACAACAACAAAAAACAAAAACAAAAGAACAACAACAAAAATCTTCTGCACAAATATAAGAACCAGCTGATTAAGAGGAGAGAAAAATAATTCTTTTACAGGATACCTTTACTAAAAGAAGCAAAGTTTAAGTTTGTGCTTCCTGGAAGTTGATTCAAAGAAAAGAAATGGATGGATTTCACAGATCTTATTATTCAGTAAAAGAAACAGATCTGTTGGCAGGAAAGATAAACTTCCCCTGGTCCTGGGGATTTGTCACATTGGTATTCATATACGGGACAATGACAACAACGTATGTTACCTTCAAAAAAAGTTTTCCTTAAAAATGATTTCCTCTATTATATGGGTTTTCCATATTTCCACCTTAGATTAAAATGAGGACAAAGTATTAACTTCTAACTCTGTAAAAGAGATTCTAGAAGAGAAACTAGTTAATAATCATCAATCGTAAGTATAAATTATCCATAGCAAAACTATAAGATATCTAAGTGAAATTAGCTATTTTCATGACAATCATCAATAACTGTTATTCATTGGTTGTAATGAACAATTTCCTAAAATCAGAAAGAGCTAGCCAATGATTAAGATCTATAAAGTCTCTAGTATTTTTTAAAAATGGGTGTTGTCTCAGTTCAGATTTACAACAACAAAAAAAATTGTTTACTTCTTTTCTCGTTTTTTTTTTAATGAAAAAGCATCTGGCAGTAATCATTGAATTCAAACTCTAGTGGAGGGAAGGGTTGTCTAGTATTAGCATGATCTTGTAATGCATGAATTCATTCACATACCTTTACAAGACCAGTGCTCTAACCCCTGAGCTATAGGGCCTCGTGTCATTCACATACCTTTATACTTATGACATGTTCTGGAAGAAAATTACATATATAGTTACAGTGAAGAGAGAAATTCTACCCTTGAGCTTTTAAAAATAGAAATAGTGTTAGAATAGATAGACATAGAAAGAAAGAAAAATAACAATGGCATTAATTATGCAGTTGACTCCAAGAATGCCCAGAAAAGTCCTAGCTAAGAGGGTATCCTGAAGCCACCTACTTAGTGAAAGAAACTTCAGTATACGGAAGGAGAAGGACTAGGATAAAGCAGATGCTAGCGTGTAAAATGGAGATATTGGGATGAAGCACTTCGGGTTGCTAAAGTGACAGGCAGACAACAACTACCTTAATAGGCAGCCAGAATGCCACACTATTTTATAAGTAGCCAAAAAACATAAAACCTCCTTTGATGGAGGCCAAAGTGATACATGTAAGTAACTGGAAGAAACATAAATATAAGACGCTCATTTGGAGTCTGTTTCAGCACTGACGGTGATAACATTGTGAAATCAACGGCCGTAATGAATCTCAAATATAAAATACAGAGAAAGGAACGGGTCCACTCTGTTATGGTGCCAAGAAGGCAAGATGCAAAGGCATGTTGCTCCGGGAGTGTCAGATACTCTGAGGACACTTTATTTCCCAAATTATTTAAGCAGAACTTGTGGCATCGATCATAAGGAGGATTTATGGGCAGTCTAGGATACCCAGATGCTTCGTGCTCTGTGCAGGTTGAAGTGTTAACCTGTCTTGGAGGGTTAAAGAGGGTTAAAGCTAAACCATAGTAATATGTTAACTAAGTGGAAAAATCTTTTGAAATATCCATTAAGTCTCTCCCTTACAGAGATACATTTTAGATGTACCTACGGTTTCTACTGTTGTTATCATATTTACATATCATTATTCGCACAGATTTGACAGGAAGTTATTACTTAGGCATGTTAATATTATTTTCAAATAATATTAGTGTATTTTTTTCTTATATTTCCATTAATGCAAACATTTAAATGAGCTTTCGGGTGTTTCCCCTTTTTGGTATTTTGACAGTATAAATTGTAAACTTTTAGAATAAAATGAAATTCTGGAAGTACTCAGATACAATCATAAAGTCATTATTTATAAATTTATCTCTGATAGTCAAAGAGTATTGTGAAGCTATTTTAAATCTTGCCAAAATGCTTCTGACATGGGCTTGCAAAAACTTCCAGAACTATTCTGATAAGCTCATTTTCGACAACTCACAGCGGTCCTTATGGGGTGGGAGAGAAGCACTGTTCTGGGTTTTAATTTTGTGCTTGCCAATATTAACACAAAACTCTCTATTTTCCTTTTGATTTGCCGTGTTGCATTTCATCCTGTCAAGATTACATACAGGGACGACCCGTCAAAGCGCGGAGCGGAGCGAACCTGCCCTCTGGTAATTAGCAGGGCGGCCCCGGCTGTGCCCACCGTCTCCATCTCAGCCAGTGAGGAAGCTTGAGTGGAGGTCTGCTGCATCAGACACACCTCTAAGGGAACCCTCTGAATTTGCAGCTCATCTCGGGGAAGAGAGAGATTTAATTTATTTGAAGTTTTTATAGTGTTAATAATTTTTTTTTTTTTTTACCTCGCTAGCTTGAAAATTTTGCCCGCCTCCAGTTTTGCACATTTCTTATGATTTGTTTGTTTTTTTTTCCTTGAGCAACGTTGATTAAGTCAAGCTGAACATTTGCCGTGAAATTGCAATGAATGTGTAGCTCAAAAGCAAACCCTAAGTTTGCTGTCAGTTATAATGTGTTCAATACCAAGCCCTAGTACATATATTTTAAAGGTCAAAGTGAATGTTTTTGTAACATTTAAGCACATTTCAAATGTAAATAGAAGATTGTAAGATATATGGTTTTTACCAAATTTAAAAGAACCTTTTTAGTTAATACTTATGACAGTGCTAAAATTGTATGAATAACATTTCAGATACCATTATATTAAAATATTTGTGTATGTGTACAAAAGTGTTGATAAATACTAACCTTTAAAGTTTGTGGAGTTCCTTTATTTGTAATATATGTGCTCTTAAAAGCAATGGGATGTGAAATTATGTAAGTATTTTGTTGTTAATAGAAATAAAAAATACAGTTACTTTGCATTTGGTTCCCTCTTGAAGAGTGGGTGAGTTCCTACTAAAAGTGGTTCATCGGACTGGATACCTGCTGAACGCAATCCCATATTCACTACATATGGTGCCTCCTTAAGAGGTTAGGGAAAGGACTCCACACTCAGCCAGGCTGTTACTCCAAAGATCAAATCGACATGCCAGAAGTTTCCAAATCTACAATAATAGGATGACTGGGGAAGATAGAATGAATCAGAATCATGAGGGCTGTGGTATTTAATAGGACTCTTCACAAATATTCCATATAAACTTGCGGTGGGATTGCATGTTCCTGCCTCTTTTGAAGTTAGACTTGGCCATGTCACTTGCTTTTGAAATGTAAGCAGAAGTGACATGTGTCATTTTCAGGCAGATACTTAAAAGCCAGTAAGTGGTTCTGCCCAATCCCCTCACTGAAGCACTCACATGGAAATGAGGCCTCTATCAGCCTGAGTCCCCAAGTGACCACAACGAGCATACACACACACACACACACACACACACCACAACTACCACCACTCCCCACCAACCTTGTCAAATACAGAGTCTGAGTCAACAGCACATTTGGTTGTATTAAGGTCCCAGGATTCAGGGACTGTTTGTTACCACAACATTATGAGTTCATCCTGGATGAATTGTGACTGATGCTCAACCATGTTTGGGAACCACTAACACATTCCACCTCCTCCTCCAGCCAGCTCTCTCCCCCAAGCAACACAGCAGCAGTGCAGCTGAACTGAGCTGCCTCCAGATGCAGAAGGCAAGCTCAGGAAGAGCATTTTACATTCACCCCTGGCCGCCATTCCAAAGGTCCAGCCTCCAGTTAGGAGACTTTGGCTGAGTTCATCTTTCTCCTTCAAAAGTCCATCAGCCACTATCCACAGAAGACCACAAAGGAGGGTAGAGCTTAGAAGACATATTTAAATACTGTGAACACAGAAGTGATAAAATCGTATTTGAGATTAAAACTCTGATCACTCAAGATTCACGTAACTGCTCTTTTCTCAAAGAATGCACTCTTTTATCTTAAAAATAAATAAATAAAGCCCTGTGATGAGATGACCTCTGATTCAAAGTAACATTCCCTGCTTCATTCTGATTCCAACTTTCTGGGTATTTGTCTGGCGGGATGGAATCTTGGTCATCTCATCTAACTTCCTCATCATTACTATACCAAGAAACCAGGAAGACTCTTCCCCTGCTACTGTTCCCACTCAATTTCCACCTTTAGTCTTGAGACCTTAAGCCCATCCCAACCCACCCATTCCCCTGCCCCAAGGACACTGTCAGCAATGGGCTACCTGGCCAAATCTGAAAATACAATCTATAAGGAAGTAATTGTAAATAATGGGTCTTTGGGCCACCTGGTGACTCAGTCCACTTAGTGTCCAGGTCATGATCTTGAGGTCCTGGGATCGAGCCTCCTGACAGGCTCTGCTTGAAGATCCTCTCCCTGTACATCTGCCCCTCCTCCCTTATGCTTGTATACACACTCTCTCTCTCTCTAAAATAAATATTTTTTAAAAATAGATATTTTTACTTTTGTTAAATGCCCAATATTCTATTCACAAGGAGGAGTATGTTCAATGACTTCATTGTGGTTTGCTCCAAAGTGGTTCCTAGATCAAGTCGTTGAAGATTTTTTTTTTTTTAACAGAGAATGCAAGAGGGAGAGAGAGAAGCAGACTCTCCACTGAGCAGGGAACCCAATCTGGGGCTCCATCCCAGGACCCCAAGATCATGACCTGAGCCGAAAGCAGACACTCAACCAACTGGGACACCTAGGTGCCCCATATAGCAATAGCCTAAAAACAATTGCTCTAGAGACAATGAGCTGAAACCACTCTGCCTTAACAGCATCAAAACTCACCCTGCACAGTCCCAGAACCTTGGTACTCCTGACTTCTTTAGACCAGATGTATCAAAAACTGGCTTCTCGGAGACTGAAGCCAGCACATCCACATTTTATCTGTGGCACACAATGTCTTTAGGTTTTTGCAATTAGATATCAACACTTAAATACTCAGAGACAGGTAAAATTCCAGCTTCTTAACATCTGTTAAGAAATCAGGCTCTATGGCAATGCTGGATTCAATTCCCACATGACAACAATCAGTTAAAACTGAGGTACTGTTGACCCTTTACATGTGCCTTCCAGCTTGCCAGAGTTGACACCAGGTCCTAACTGACTTACGCCTGATCAACCCTCTTACCTATTTCCTGCCTAGACCTAGGCACATGCAGACCTCTGTTCAGATAAGCTTTTTATATGTAAGCATAGTGATCACTAGATGTGGACAGCAGATCATCTGTTTCAGAACTGGGCAGGACACAAGTTAAAAGGCATATTTCTGAGCTCTATCAACCTTCTGAAATAGAAACCCCTAGGAGCCATACCCAGCTCCACATGATTCTTAGGCACACCAGGGTATAAAAATTCCACTGAGTCCTCTAATTACCCCTTAAAATGTACTTTGCAGAAGACAATGCCTTGTGTACCAGTGACCTGATTTTCAATTGCCAAGACAGTGAATTCTTATTTTATATTCTTTTTATCTTTGTATAACTTCTCTCAAAGCAATCTACAGCATTTTACCCAAATTAATAACTCCTCAAAATAATCTCAGTAAAGAAAAAAATGATAGTAAATTTCACAGTTCTACAAATGGAAATGGAAAGAGTAAAAATAAGACAAGTGGGATCATTTTCATTATTTACCCTGGAAAGTATCCAACACAGAATATGTGGAGGTAGTGCTTGGGCTCAGTCCTGGCTCTGTCCACCATCCATTCATCATCTCACTCAGTAGCTACCTCTCTTCCCATTCTCATTTTAAAGTGCAAAATGCCCAGCCTGTTAAAAAAAAATTAACATGTCCATGAATTTTTGGTAATAATTACCTTACAAACAAGTGTCCATTATCCAAACCCACACAGTATGTCCCTATTTTAACTGTGTTCTCATTCATTTAGAGACCAATATAAATGGTTCAATTAGCCTGTTTCCTTCAGAATGACATACTGTTTTCTGAAAAATGGAGAGCAAGTTATAGGGAAGTATCAACTTCCAGAACCCTAAACGCTGCTCTGCAAGATTTTACCGTATGTGTAGATTGGCTTTTCATCTTATAGTATTGTCAAACTCCAGAAATATAAAAAGATATATGTATATATAAAACCAGTACTCTTATGAACAGTTAGGAAAAGAAACAAATTTGAAAGCAAATGTGACAAATGATCCCAAATTACACTTTAAATTTGCTCACCTTACAAGTGGTCTCCAAATCCTCCACTCCTACATTTGTATCAGTGAAAAATTATGTATATTTAAAAATAGATATTATATGATGAAATATGATATTTTGTTCAGAAAATGATGAAGTACAGGCATGACTAATGTTCAGGATTCTCTGCAGGAAGCCCCTTGCCCTCCTTCTAGTTCCTTATCGTGCCTATTTGCCTACATGTACCTTTTACTTAGATCCACAATGTTCTGTTCACTTGGGGGAAAAAAACAAAACAAAACAAGACTATTTTGTGCTTCCTTCTGACAGAAAGATCCATTTCCCTTTTCTCCAACCACACAAATCCAACCCATAGACATCAGGACTAGCTGAATTCATGTCTGTGGTGGATGCTATGACAGCACACCAGTTCCACCCTCGAGGACTGAGATACCCATTCTGCCAGCTGCTCAGAGGTCTGGCAGCTAACGTCTCTCCTCTGAGTCCCTCTGGCCCAAGGTCACATCACTGCCCGGAGGAAGCTTATGCTCAAGGATTGGTTGATGGTGGAAACCGCAAAAGCCTGGCTTCTTTGCCCCAATCCAAGACAACTCTGAAAGGCCATCCCGGTTACCCGGCTCCTAAATAAGAGGTCATCTGTAACCACATCATGATTGAACAACTCCCTCTGTCCACTTATCTTCTGAAGAGGATTCCCAAGAGGCACTGATTCCCAATACATTTCCTGCATGTACACCTCCACATAGACTCTGTTTCTTTGGGAATAGATCAAGTCAACAGCTTTTCAGATGCTTTGCTTATGACTCTTGCTCACCTGGATTTCTCATCCTCTGCCCTTCGATGGCCAAATTGCCCTGAATCTCCCATTTTTCTTTTCTTAATTATGTTGCCGGTTATCATTTCATGTGTACCTGTGTTCTTCCCAACCCTATCATGCCTTCCTTGAAGGCATACTGCGTCTTAATATTCTTTGTATTCTTTGCAGTTCAAATTACTGACCTGAACTTCAGAGTTCTGGAGCTCAGCTCTCAAACTCTTGTCAGGATGAAACAGTTCCAGAAAAAAATGCTAGGGAAGGGAATGAGGAGCAGAGGAATGAAGAAGCAGAGGAATGAAGAGCAGATTGTGAGACGATAGGTTTGAGGCCAGAAGTCAAGTGTCCTCAAATCTCTTTTTTAAGGGAATATTTTTTAAAATATCAGAGTTTACTGCTTTCTGGTTTCTTCTCAGTTCTCAGCCTCAGCAGAATTTTGCTACTAAAGTATTTGGCACTAAATATGTAGACACCTAGGAACAAATTAAAGCAAAAGTATTAATGACATGATGTTTTCATTTGGAAGCTTTCCAGCTCCTCTTTGTTTCCAGTTCCTTTAGATTCCTATGCCCACCCCATCACCCAATGCTGCCTCACTATCGTCCCTACACTAGCACTCCACCCAGCCCTATCTTCCTCAGGCAGAAACCCCACACCTTTCCAGTCTGTGCTTGCCTTCTTTCCAAATGGGTTCTGATTCAAATGCCAATTCCAATCATAGGTAGGTTGTTGCCTGGAATGCCTGGGATGCTGGGTTGGGGAGAATTATGCAAGGCCACCTTTGCTCCCAGAAGATATGCTCCACTAGCTACATGATGGGCACAAGAGCTAGGAATGGCAGCCTACCTGCTGTTCCTTTGCCATCCATGCATGAACCTTCCTCAAAGGCTAACATCAAGTTATCTCAAGCTATAGTGCCACTGTCTGATTATAGGC